ATTCTGATATTTTGAGTATAAGTTATATATTTATAAAATTTTTTGAATTTTTTTATCTACCTGTTTATTAAGATAATTTTTTATATATTTTTTAATCTGGCTGTAGTTCCCTTCTTGTTAAATAATTCAAAGTTTAATATGTTTTATTATATGTACTCTATATTTCGACTCTCCTTGAGAGGCATTATCAGGATTACGATTATAAGTTAATATATTAAAACTACATATACGTCATCCTCTTTGTTCGTTCGTTTATATTGCAGTGCAATATAGTGCCAGATTAAAAGTTATGTATTTACATATATTAATATTACATATTTATAAGTTATATATTATATTATAAGTTTTATAAGTTGTAACCGTTATTTTGTTAGAATTCTTAATAAGAAACCAAACTGAGAAACTGAGAATAACTTGAATCCAAAGTTTGATAAGTTTTAGAGTTCCAAATTAATTTACTAATTAAGTTGATTTCAATGTTTTAGTAGTTTTAAAATTTTTATATATAAATCATTATAATTTTTTAGCTTCAGTGCATCACAAAGTATCGTTAATACCCTTATAAAATTTAATTTTATATTAAATTTACTTTAATAAGAAATGAAACATAAAGTCTTACAAAATATTTAAAAGAATGCTTCATTGACTTTGTTAAAATAACTGTATATAAAAAATTCATGAAATTTTTTTTTGAAATATTGCATTTTAACTTTTCGTATGTGGGGGGATATTCAATGAGAAAAGATTTTATTTACAATTTTACATTGACTCATTGGCCATTGGAAATAATTAAAAAAAATTTATATATATAAAATTTTATCTTTTACACTATTATATATAATATTTTGAATGTTTGTTTTGAGGAGAAAAGAATTTTCACAAATTATAGAGCTATAGCGACGCCCTCACCGCCTGTCCAAATGTTTTCTTCACGTTTAGAGAAATTGAAAATATGGCGCGTGGGCGCCAAAATACACAAGTCCAAGTTTATATTTTAAATATATTTTTATATATTGTTTTTAGAAGAATTGAAATAAAATTTAGCATATTAGTTCACTCTCCAAATTCACCAACACAAATTGAAAAAATATATAAAAATCAATTACATAGAACAAGTGTGCATATTATGTATATATGTTATGTATTTAGCGTAGTATGAGAGCAATGATTTCTTGTCGAAGTATATATGAGTTTGATATATATTTTTGTATGAAGACAACACCCCAACACAGCACCCCCAAACAACCCACCAGTGGCCTTACATACAATATAGTGAGCAAATTTCTCCGTTAAAATTTGTACAAAATAAATTTTTAATAAAGAAATATATAGAAAACAAAAAGAACAAATTTTTATAATATCTTATGTACATAAAAATAAAATTATTTATGTATCTAAAATTGTATGAATTTTTAACTTTTGAACCAAACAACAAATTCGCCAGAAATTGAAATTGAATTTTCAGTTGCTTTCGGGAAATTGTAAAATTAACAACGATTTAAGAAAATTAAGTTGGAAAAAAGAGGAAAATTTTAAAGAAAATTTTGTATTCCAAACGATCTCTTCAAACGATCACGATTAGCAGACGAAGAAGTACAAGTGAAATCGAGAGTTTCCTTTAAACGATATTAAACAATAAAGAAGCAAGTTTAAATTAATTTTGAATAAAGTATTTATTTCTTATTAATGAATATACATTTAAAAAAGAAAATGTATTAAAAATTAATTATGCACAAAATATATAAAGTTCGATATATGGAACTCTAGTGATTTTAATGATTTTAATGAACTGTAAAGTTATATAATAAAATTGCAAATAACAAATAGTTAAAAAGTATTTAAAAGATACTTTTAAAATATTTCATTATTGATTTAATTTTTTGTTTCACATTTTTTTTTTATATTTTATTTAATAAATAAAAGGAGTTTAAATATCTTAAGTTAAAAAACACATAACACAAAATGGAGTACGTTCAATTTAAAAATGGATCACCACACTACTACAGGGAACAACCAGACTTCAATGAATGTATTCAATACCAAGTAAGCATCAAAGAATATATATATATAAACATTTCTTAAATAAAGTTCATAAAGTAAATATAAAATATATCCACAAATAAAATAACAGAAAACTGATTAATTAATTTAAAAGGAATTAAGTTAATATATATATAAGTCAAAAATAAGAATAATAAGAATGTAATTTAAAAAAGTTCTTAATAAATAGGAATAAATTAAATATAATAAAATCAAAAAATTAATATTAAACATAAATATAAAACATTAATTTAATAATATTAAATTGAATTTAATAAATTTGAATTTAATATTTAAATAATTAAATAAAAATAATTTGGTAAAACTGCACATAATTATGCATTTATGCTTATGTAAAAAATAAATATATATATTATAATATATATAATATATATAATATATAATAAATATATATAATATATAGTATATATAGTAATATATATATGTATATTAACAGAAACTATATGCATATATATAATACAAATTATGATATATATATAATTAAATATATTTATATATAATAAAGAAGTTATGAATATACACATAAGTAAAATAATAATATATATGAAGAACCAATCAAATGTATATATTTCTACCAACATACGAACCAGCAATTGTACATTCTGTTAAACAAAACAGTGCGATTACAACCATAAACATTATATGTAATAACAATTAATAATATTAATTACTTGAAATATTTTACCCGAAGAAAAACTAAAGGCATTTCATTCACTGAATAGTAATTCTATGGTGGACATATAAAGTGCAATTTCACTCTTAAATTTGCACATAAAGACATAGATAGATCCACATAAGTAATTTTTTTAAATTATATTTAATAAAGAGGTTTTTTCGAACAGTAGTGAACTATAACAACAAAAATTTTATTTTTTATATTATTTTTAATTAATTAAATTTTTGGCTGACCATACAGCTGTTTCGAGTAATGCTAAATACCCATCATCAGCGGTCTTGGAAATAATGCTTGTATTTAATTATTCGTAAATAATTATTTTTGAGACTGCAAGTACCAGGAATTGAACTCGGGTCCTGCCAAATGTGAAGCTCAGAATCATTATATTATTAATTAATATAAGATATAATTAATAATATTTTATACAAAACTATGTGAATTCAAAAAGAATTTTATCACAATTGTTTTGTATATATTCATATTTATACATATTAGATGTTATAAACAATACGTAATCATATTATTTATATATTTATATATAAATGCCAGTACTTTTTACTAATATGGATTTTTACATAATCGATATTAATTAATATTTCTATTTTTTTATACTATTATTATTAATAATTTTAATACACAGTTAATACATATATACACAGTACATTTTGCATATTATGTATATAATATATATACATACATTATTGTTTATATTATATTTATGCCAGTAGTAAATAAATATAATTATATAAATAATTATAATATTTAATCTATTATGTATATATATTTAATAATTATTTATACTATTCTGTATATAGTTTTGTGTTGATTTTATCTTAAACATTTTCATATAATATTATATAAATTATTAAAATTTGTTTATCAAGTCTTACTATAAATAATATTTATATACATTTTGTGTGGGATTATATAGAATCATTATGAACTCTTAAGCCATACAAATTCATTTTTAATATTTCCTCAACTATTAAAGTGCTGAATAATTAGAAAATATAATTATAAATAATTAACTTTTTTGCAAATTAAATAATTAAAATAAATATATATATAAATATATATATATACATATATTTATAATATAAAAGACAAATTGTAAACAAAATCAAGTTCAATTTCAGATATATTTTTGTTTTATTTTCGTTTTTAATTTTTTTGTTGTTGTTTTTTTTGAATTTAACGATCCCACACATCGAGAAAAATCTAAAATTTCAAAAATGAAATATTTCCAACATATGTAGATTTTCTTTTAGCAAACATTTGCCTCTTGTATCTTCTCTTATAAAGAAAATCGAATGAAATCTCTCTTTTGTAATTTATACCCCCGACTTTATTTTTAGCCAGAAATATAATTTTGCTCACACAGACAGTTGCAAAAATAACAATAATGAAAAGTAAAAAAATTATACGAAAATATTTCAGTTTAGAATCTGAAATTCGACTTGGACGCTATGAAAATGATGATCATAAAGATGATGCTATTGCGATATTTCTTGTTTATTATGTTTTTCTCAAAGAGCTTAAACTAAAAAAATAGAAATAGCAGATAAATACTGTTGCCTAAGATGTTTTGAAATCTTTTCAATAATATGCCAAAAACTGCGCAAAACAACATAAAAAAATATTTCAACAGAAGTAAGATCTTTATAATAAATACTTGATCTTCCCAAGCAGATATAGATAACATATTACCTTTGATGATGAATGTATTTCTGTCCTTATAATAATTTGAGGCATATATTTCTTATTTGGAATAATTTTTATTAGATATAAGATAACATATCTCATACAAAAATATTGTTTTACAGCTCATTACAAATCAAACGATTCATTTCTAGTACTTATATCTATCAATATCTACCTATAAAGTGTTATCTATAATTCTCAAAATTATATTGAAAACTTATTACTGTCTTTTAATAGAATATAATTATATAACGAGGTAAACTGCAAAGTACAAATATTCAACACAAGTATTTAACAGATAAAATGATTAATTGTTTATTTGTTAAAAAAATATAATACAAAGTATTTGGTAACCCGAAAAAATGAGATGTTTAATTTTTAGTGAAAGTCATGAAACTTTTTCACTTTTAATTTTATTAAGGCGACTGTCATTGACGAATGCTTTCATCATAGGCAGCTGCTTTCAAATATATGTATTTTGTATATTTATATAAATATATGACTTTGACGTTCAAGGTTAATTAAAATTGTTAAAATAATTAAAATTTAACGAAATTATCTATTTTATTTGATTTATAAAAGCATTTACACGCTAAATCAGTCTATAGTTATAGTTTAAATGATTATGTGTTTTGCTAATTTAATAAAATGTTACAATAATAATAATAATTTACTTGTCTTTTGCACCTCTTGAGGCACATATAGTTTTCAAAAAATTACTATTTGCTTAAACAAGCAGTATCGTCAAGTATCGAAGCAATAAGTTGTTTATCTCTTAAAGCTCCATTAACTTCTTCTTCGTCCCACTGCAGTACGACTTTATTAAGGCGTGGTTCTTTTTTTCGCATTATACGCAATATACCGCGAGTTTCAACTAAATCAACTAGTCCAGCAAATTCAGTTTGGTCAACTGAGTGTATGTTTCTTTTAGCGCAAACACGACGATATACTTCATGTAGTCGTCCAATAGTTATGTCCTTATTTTTTTCTTTGCGCAGCATTAACACTAACGTACAAAGCATAATTTTTTGTTGCAGTGGAAATGATTCCTCGATATCTTCTTGTAAATTTTGTGAAGCTCCGTAGACTTTATTGAGAACAGCAGCTACTTGTGTGATTTGCACAGGTTTTAACGGTTCTAAGAAAAAAAAATTAGATATAATATCGATTCTTCTAAAACTATTTTTGATATTACCTTCTGCTACGTTTTTATCATCAATATCAATATTTTTTATATCGCTTAATTTCATTTGGTTCTGTCCACTTTTTTTTTGTTGTTCAGCTATCTCAACTACACGTCGTCCTATATCCAATGCTCGACGTACATCTCCACTAACAGCGCTTACTTTTGCCGCTAGCAATTGCAGTGTAACGGGTGGAAAAATGTCTAAAACATCAGCTTCAGCTAAACGAGCTTTAAAAATGCTAACAATTTGTTCTTTTGTGTATGGCGGAAAATGCATCAGACGTGGTTTAAGTTCACAACGTGCATTAAGCCTCAAAAGAGCCCGATCTGTTAAATCGAGGCTGTTGGCTATGCCCACAAGTAACAACTTAGCATCGGGTATGGCAGGCCATTCGAAAATTGTATACAATACAGACTGCTTTGAGTTACATAATTGATCAATTTCATCTAAAACAATTAATAACATACGTTTCGCTTTACGCAAATGTTGTTGTATTGCTGCCAGATAGTCTCGCTCATTGCGTCCTGCTGGTTGTAAATTTAGTTCAGAGCATAACTTCTTGTAAACACCACCTACAGTGGCGATTGAGGTGCAGTTAATATAAACTCGTTGTAAACGATTAGAAAATTCTGGAGAACGTAATAGCAATGACAAACAGGCCGTTTTACCTGTACCTGGTTGTCCAGATACATATAAACTAGCGGATGTCTTATTGTTCAAATGTTCTGAAAAAAATTCACGTAACTCATTTAATTGCTCTTCACGGCCTGGCATATGTTGCGTTTCTGCACTGTTGAGTACACGTCGGGCATTTTGATACTTATTTGTAGTTGAATTTAAATTTTCGTTTGATTTTTTTTTAGTTTCATTTGCTTCTTCAGCATCGGAATTGTCTGCTAAATTATCTTTTCTTTCGTCAATACTGAGTCGATCGAGTAAACGTGTTGGACTCAGTACATTTGACTTTTGTGTTGGTCGCGGTTGTTTTGGTGGTGATGCATGTTTTTCAGATGTTTCGGATTCATCATCACTGGAGTCGGAATACTTTGATGATGTTTTACGTTTACTAAGCAACTCCAACTTTTTTGAAGCTGGCATTGGCTTATTTATTTTCTTGCTGCGAGGTGTTTTATTTCCATAGTTGGGATCGGTTGACTTTTTTCGTAGTTTATTTATCATATTGGAATTCTCATTATTTTCTTCGTCAGTTAATATTGATACATCATCGTTGTCACTTTCCGCCACGGCAGCGTTTTTTACTTGTCTACGATGCCAAATATCTGCGTTCGGTGAATCTGACGATTTAACTACGCTACTTAACCTGGTGGACCGTCTTACCGTCGCCATGGATTTTATAAATAAATTGTTATTAGTGTTTGTATATAATGATATAAAATAAATTAATTGCAAAAATACTATTGCTACACAACTTTGGGCACTGTTGTTATTTGGCGCGTAATAAATGTCAAGCGCTGATTCTTTTTAATGTAAGCATTCACAATTATAAGCAACAAGTCACAATTAATTGTAGGAGAAATCGAATTTAATGCAAGACAAATTTTTTAATACTCGCATGAACGCATTCTATTGTTAAATAAAACTAATTATTTCAATGAGATGTGTTTATTTAATGTCATTTTTGACTATTTGAATGATGCAAATATTAACAGTAATCACATTTTTTTTTTAAATAAATAATTACTATAATATATTAAAAATTTCGTGAACGTTGAAAACGTACGAGCTTTTGTCTATCAATTGAGAAAGCTGCTACACAATTAAAAATATTTTGTTATTTTTTAAAATAGAACACACTTTTTAGATTGTATATAATCTTTGTAGAAGCTGTTGAATGTACATTACGTAATAAGCTGAAAATATCTATTGAGATATATAAATAATGTATATATTTGTGTCCAGTACTACATAAGTTGGTCGCGTTAAATATAGGTATGTGTTGGTTGCTATAGTGTGTAAAATAGAATCGAATTATATTAATAAGTTGTTTACGAAAGAACAAATTATTATAAAAAAAATTAAAAATGTTCTGTGCTATAAAATTTTTTTTATATATTGAATATTTTATTATTAATAATTTTATGAACGTACAAAATTCGCAGATGGTTCTATAAAAATGTTAAACAGATACTTTAACACTTTCTATAACAGTTTGAAATTCTTATTAAATTTAATATTTGTATTAGTAAATTTTTTATACAAATATGCATTTTTGTTTGTTCTAATAGAAGAATAAAATTAATGCGCATATGCTATAATAAAATATTTTAATTCCAAATTAAAAATGTAAACAGTTGATTGATTAATAAAAAATGAAATAACGATATAACTATCTATGTATTTAATTATGTGTTGTAAATTAATACTATATATTGCTCCTATCATTTTATTATTTTCAGCCTTACCGAACAACTCCACTGGTGCTGCCCGGTGCTAAGGTTAAGAAAGATGCTCCAACCACAGAATCGTACTTGAGACATTATCCCAATCCAGGTATTATATCTATTTCGAATTAATATTTAAATAACTCTAAGTAATAACTCTATTGAAGCTGTACGTGCTCATCCCGGACATGATTACCATGATAGCGTTATGAAACAACGCGTTGCTGACACCATGCTCCACAGAGTTGTAGGCAAGGATGCTGATACTGGCAGGGTAAGCAAAAACCACTTAGTTGTTTATACATATATTTAATTACTCCCAAATCGATTTGTTTGATATATATGTATTTGTCTCTTGTGTTTTTATCAAAGATTCACATTATGTAAATAATTTATTGATAGGTTTTCCACAAACAATTTAACTCTCCAATTGGCCTGTATTCTGACAGCAACATTGAAAACACTATCAGACAAACTGTTCCGTAAGTTTCAATTGATTGACTGTGCAAACTAATTGAAAAACACTTAATAAAACACTAACTTTATAAATCAGAAGATGTTTAATATGAAGCAATAAAATTAATAATAATAATAATATATTATAATTGGAAAAAAACTAATAGCTTGAGCCTTAATTATTAATATTTACTTTAAAATAAATAGCTTTGAAGGCTTAAGCTAGGTTTTAGTGAAGCTTATCAGTTTAAATGAACTTAACTAAAACTTTGAAATGTTTAACAAATTTTAATTGAAAAACAATAAATAAAAAATATTAAATACTAAATAATTTAATACGTTTTTAAAAAATTTTTTTTTTTATTTATTTTGCGAAATTGTTGACGAATTATTCGCGCTTTCGCACACACAAATACACACAAGCGAAATTTATTTTTTATTGTAGTAATTCCAGTACAGAAAATCGAGTAAGGAATAGTCCTTTACATCGTCCTTTGCCAACAAAGCTTGACCGGTAAAAGTAATAAAAAAAACTGATTGCAAATTATTTTTGACAAAGTCTTATTTTGATAATGTGATCATCGCGATCATTATTTTATTTTTATTTAAAATTTTGGAATGTCATTTAGAAAGAAATTTACTAGTTTTATTTCATTTCAAAAGCTTCGATCATTGAATTTTGCATTGTTTTGGGTCTTTATGATTTCTACGAATTTAAAATATCTATTTTTATAAAGTTTTTTTATAGTAGCGCATTGTGTTTTAAAGTAAATTTGTTTAGTTTCTATTTCATGTGTTAACTGAACGTTTTTGTTTGTACATAATTTTATTGAAATAATCCTTTTTAATATATTACACATCCATAGTACATTACATATTATATAAAACACTTTGACAATTTTAAATTACAATTGATTTTTATTTTGTATACGAAGAGAAGGCCCAAAGAAGAATTTTAGAAACCTTAAGGAAAGAACCCAGTCTAGAAAATTCTAAAGACTTTTAAGAAGATTTGATAGTTTTTTGTTTCAATATTAGAAGTTTCACTTATGTTATATGTTTATATGCTTCTGATTTGAGGTAACATTAGAATTAAATTATGACAGGAATCTGGAATTCAATTGGAGCAAAGTACACAATCACATATTATTTGACCTATAACTGCCTCTAACCGAAGAGAAGAATTCAGAATTTTTAATTAAATTTATAATGTTTCTCTCACTAGAATACAGGAATTGATATCAGTATCTAGCATCTTCCTACTGGATAAGATTCAAGTCAGATAGTCATAAAAAATATAACTGCAAATATCATTTGTGTGCAGGCAAAAACGACATTCTTGCACATTCACAGATTTATTCTGTTGTGATGGTTTCGTAGATATTCAGGTAGGTAACGTCAGTTAGTCTCTCATATTCTATTTTAATAGAGCGGTTTATTGATATTATATTGTGAAATTTTGGTAATACCATTGAATATCAAATACCAGTTATTGATTAAGTAAATATTATTTTAAATTTTTTTAAAGTTTATTTATTTATAATTTTCCTAGTTCTTACAAGATATGCATTATTTATTGAGTGTCTTGTCGATTAATAAATCTGTTGTGATGTGAAATATGTAAAACTTGTTGGATAATGGTTTCAAAATAGTTTCTTAGGTTAGTTCATGTTTCAAGTTAATATTAGGAATTCTCTCAGACTTGATGGCTCCTTATGTTGGCATATAAAATTGGTAGTATTTAAACATTAGACATACTTCAAGGAAAGATCCTGCAGTTAGCTACGACCTTTCAAGAAGAAAATCTCTAGCAAAGCAGTTATGAAGAACTTTCCTCATGTACTTCAGAGAGAGTATTCAATTTACTAGTTAGAGTAGTTATTGAAATTATATCAAGCATAAATTTAATTATATTTATAAATAATGTGACTATTAAGAATTGGTCTTCAAATGTTTGCAAAATTTCATAATTGAATATTTACTAGTAAAATAGCTAAATTTAAATTTTTAAAGAGTATTGTGCAGTATTAGTGAAGTACAGATTAATCGTGAAGTTAGGATTATTTGAGTTATTTGAACCATTACTTTGCTCAGTTTATGAATTTTTAACAATTACAATACACACACTCAAAAGACACAGACCTATCTAACCTTTAATTAATACCTAATTATACTTTCTATACAATATATATATCAATAAAACAATATTAATATTTGTCATGCAATCGAATCAGCTCTTGTGTCTTATCCTATTACTATTCAATTGTCTCTGATTTTTATTAACTGTAAAAAATAATTAAAAACTTGAAAAAAATATATGTTGTGTCTATGTTGTGTATTTTAATGTGTCTTTGATCGTATATTAAAAGGTTCACAAATATTTTTAACCTAAAATAATATTATAGCTGGATGTTTGGACTATGAGTTAGTAAAGACGTTAATTTAAAAATATGGGTTAAAAATATTTATTAGTTGTGTTTTTGCAGCTATGCATGTCTGTCTCGTGTTTATACAAAAAAATAATATTTTAATAATTTTATTTGTATAGATAATGATTAGTTAATAAATGAGAAGTATGATGAGGGTTTTGAGCAATAATTTCAATTTAATAAAATCGATTAAATTTTCTTTATAGGCGATAAAAATTAAGCAAATATTACCTGTGAAGCATTAGACTTAAGAATGTCTGTATAGCAAGAAAGTCTCATTAAATTAAATTTAATGAATATATTTTAGAAGACTTCAAGAAATATAAAATTTATTTAAAATATAAATATTTTTATAATTCCACGCTACAAATATTTTTAGGAAATACATAAAATTACCCCATAACCACAAAGTAAAATACTAATACTAATAAATCCTGAAAGTAGAACTGATTGTTTAATGAATGTCTCACTAACCTTTGTATTTCACGTCTACACTATAGTGATTAGAGATTTAAAAATATTACAGAAATTGAAATATTTGTATTAAGTTGTACCTCAAGTTCTTAATATTATATAGTTTTTATTTATTTTTATTCTTTGCCTTGAGAATGATTTGTAGTTACTGCTTAAAAATATTATGAAAAAAATACTTTTAATTAAAACTATAATTAATATTAAAAAAAAATTAGTTAGTAATAAATTTTAAATGAATTTAATTATATATGAATTGTTAAATTATTATCATTATTATACATAGAGGTTAGTTGTCAAGTGGAATACTTATAGCTTTCTATGGTTTAGATTAAGCCATACAAAGTGTAACTTCAAAGCTGTAACATCACACGTAGAGAAATTTGTTTTGTTGAGAAACCAGTGCTGAAAATATTTAATGAATCAAATTTAAGCATTCGCGAATGCATTTATCTATTTGCGAACAAGCAAAACACTCGAACCAATTTATTCGAACCAAGTTAAATGTTTTTACCTTGCTATTTTTATCCCCTGCTACCACGCCAACTTGTATCGATATTTCGCATAAAAGCAAAAAGTGAATAAGAAGCGAATAGTAAGCAAATAAATGAATTTGTGGTGAGTGAATGCTTGCACGTATAAAGCGATAATGCGAGAATTAAGGGTGTATAAGAAATTTTTAGCGAAAGAAATGAACTTAAATAAGCTTAAACCAAATCAAGAAACTTCTGAGTTGAGTGTATTGCTGAAAATCTGGACCTGTTCAAACGACTTACTAAGATATGTTTACGTTACTTTAAAAAATAAATTCGGTACAGCGAAAAATTCTAGCGATATTGGCTTTATTTAAGTTTAGCTTGGTTTATATAATGAACAGATTTTGTTTAGTTTTTAATATAATTCAGATAAAATATACCATAATTCTATTAAAAAAGATATTAGAAGCAAAGATATTAAAAACAATACAGTATATAGTATATGAACATATTTATGAGTATCTCTCCATAATATGGTCATTGCTGTTGTTGCCAAGATAATAGAGTCTTTATCATATATGAGGAATTTTAAGATTCACTTAAAATATTTGTAGCACTACAGCGGATACGGCTATTTACAAATATATGTACAGAGGAAAATAAATTGAATGTTTTTTTATAAATTTTTAATTTCTTGAACTCTAAATTAGTATTAAATTCCGAATTAGTAAACTCCTATAAACGATTTGTTAAAATGACGCGCCGTCGACTCTAATTAAATTAATAAAGTAAAGTAATTTTTAACACTATTTAAATTACAATTCACTATTTAATTATTTAACGAAAAAATTTTAAACAAAATAATATTAACTTGTATTAATTTATTAAAAACAAAAAAAAAAAACAAATTAAATTTTATTTAATGAACAACGACTAAAATTATTAAAAATATTAAAATTTGTTTTTATAATATAAATAACAAAATCAAATTAAATTATTATAATAAAGAACAAAGCTGCAAAATTAATATTAGAATTTTCATCGATCTATCTTTCCTGGAACAAAAACGTAAAATTCTGGAGCAACAAAAACAAAAACAACAACAAAACCAAAGCCAACGACAACAGCGCCAACAACAACTACAGCAACTTTATCAACACTAAATTTTTTATAAAATTTATTATATGCATAAAGAAAATGAAGAAAGTTAAATTAAAAATTATAGACAAAACTTCTGTAAAGTCAAAGAAGTGCTCCTAACCTAAATCCCTAATGACTAAAAAAATAATTATATATATATCCTGCATCGAAATTATTATCGTAATTGAAATTAGACTGACAGCGCTGGTTGTACTAAAATTATGCAACGCTAATTGCAACCACGCCCACAAAATCAAATATTCCTAAAAAATTGTATTAAATCTAAGTAGTTCCCTCATCCTGCTCCTCTCATAGTAGTACTAATAGTTAGCCCTAATACATACTAACTCGTGTCCTACGCCAAAGCAGAGCTGATTTGAGCTTAAAGCAAATTAATATCGAAACTCATGCGTTTTTATTTTTCTATTGTATAAAAAGTTTAAACATGAATTGTTTTTTTATTTTGTTTGTTTCGTTATATAGAACTTAATAAAATATATTAACTTAGCATATAAGAATTGTTGAATTTTAAAAATTTGAAATTTGTTTGCGTTAAACATATTTAATAAAATAAAATAAAATGAAATAAGTATAAGAAATTCAAAAATTCTAACGTATTGTGAACATCCTGTTTTTCTTTCTCTCTCACACTCTCACTCACACTCTCTACTCAACTGTAACGTTGCACAAAATAAAAAAAAATATAACAAAATAATATGTTAATTATTAACGTAAACAAAACAATATTAAAATGCTATTAAACAACTACAACAATAAATGACAAAATGGCGCCCATTATGTTGACGAAAATAAACACAAAAAATCGAAAATGCATTATTCGATTTCGAATCTCTAAAACTGTTTAGTTATAAGAAAACTCTCGTCTTCGATCCATCAAAAAGTGAAACTTATCGAGCCATTCAGGAAGAAGACTATGGCATGAATGACAGCACCCCACACGAAGTAACAGTGCCCATACAACATAAGGTCTTCCATCCCAATAGATTGGTTCCAGGAAAGGTAAGATCGTTTATACGTGAGTGATCGTCAACTCTAAATATCATCGCCAGTTAAAACAATATATAAAATCTTTAAATGATCATCATATGTTCTCTCTAGCTCACATACACACGCACTATCAATACTTATTGTCTTACTCCTTCATGTTTTGTTACCGTGTTGCCATACTATTGCAAAATCTGTAAAGCTCCTGTGCTCAGTACTCGTAAAATAAATATATATTGTGTGCTCAGTAGGTGTGCTGAGGTGCGCTACGCCTTTTCAAACGCTTTCTGTTTGCTATATTTGGAAAAACATAACAATTCAAAATTTTAAAAAATTATCTAAAATTTAAAATACTCAAAATTATATATAGTATCGTTTAGCAAATGCAAATTTGTATGAAATTTTATGTGAACTGTGTGCATATGAATTCATATCAAATTCATTGTATCTATAATGAATATGCATCCATTTTTTAACTCTGTATATACATTTACCTTAACATCTAACATCTTAATTTTATTAAGTCTTCTCATCTAATTCATTAACAAATTAATCAAAAATACTGAGGCACTTTTTAATAATATTAATATATTCAAATTTTCTTCTACTTTGGCAATGCCTACATCAACAGAAACCAGTACAATCAGCGCCCATTTCCGGTCCGTCGTACAATGTAAGTATATAACTGTGAATAACTTTTATTATTTAATAGATTATCTATTAGAGAATAATAAACAGAATCAAGACAGATTAGTATAATTTTAAACTAATTTATTATTTTCATAATTATTACAAAACATATTTTGAGGTTATCTTGTAAATAATTAAGAATAATTTTACAACAATAAATAAATGTGATGAAATTAAAATATTTTGAAAAATAATTAACAAAAATAATAAACATTCCTTAACATCATTTACGTTAGAAATTGATTAATATAAATTTCTAATTAATATAAATTGAAGTATATAATAAAAAATTGTTATTAAAAAATTTTTAACTTCATTTATGTAAGAAATAAATGTGCAAACTTGGGCAAAACAAACGTATGCACAGTGGCTAGTGTTCACTGATGAATACGATCTAATGCAGGGCTGTCCACACCAATTGCAATCGCGGGCCAATACAAATCACTGTACAGATTGGACGGCAGCAGAAAAAAATACATACGTTCATAGTTGTTTTGGACAGAAATAAAAATACAGTTATAATGTTAAATTTAGTTTTATTAATTTATCAGTTTAAATTTATTTATTTGGTATAAAAATAAAATAATGTGGTCTTACCAAAGTACACCAAAAGAAAATTTAAGTAATTGTAGTAGATTAAAAATATGTCGCGGGCCGCACAAACATTAGTCGCGGGCCATGTTTTGAACAACTCTGATCTAACGCATGACACAACAGCTTAGGGTGCAAGCGCTTTTTTTGTCAGAAGTGTGTGCCGACTCTTAGTCAGACAGTGAAAACAACAAAAGTACAAAAAGAAAAAGAGTGCTTAATAACTGCACTAAAAAATACATTCAATATTTAAAAATATTTCTGTAAACCTTTATATAAAAATTTTCAATATTATCTTATTTTATATATCTTTAAGTTTAATTTTTAATAACAATTATAATTTTTTTAAATATGCGTATGAATAAATTTATTTATTATTTTAGGTGGTGAATACAAATGATGACACCATTCGTCAAAGCGGATCATTTAATCGTTTGATGTATAGTGTTTTGGGTTCATCGACTTATTAATATTATAATTATTATATATAATAACAACAACATTATTAATTGCAGCCACAAGAACAACCATAGTAAACAGAATATCACAACATCACTGACAATAGCAGCAAAATGTTTTCATTTCATATGAATTTTGAGAATGTTTTATTTGATTAAAAAAAATAAAATTTATATATAAAAAAAAAAATAAATAAATATATTAATTACTAACAAAATATAAAACAAAATCTATATTTGATTTGAATCATCTATAACCACTAATATATGCATTAATTGTATTAAATCAATTGAAATTTACATATGCATTAATACGAACTTTTAAAAAGAAAGTGTAAGAATCAATATTTTGAAAAAAATTTTAATTAAAAAATAAATAATAGTTAAAAACTATATAACAAATTGTCGAATTTAGGTTTTGATTTGGTTTTGTTAAAATTTTATTATAATTAGAAAATTGTAAACTATGTGTGAAAATAGTTTCACAACTGAGTGATTCTAGTCAAAGCAAAAGGTCACAGAAGTCTTGCCACATTAAGTGTGTAATAAATCTTCTCTACTAATTTAAATTAAATATTATTTTAAAATAATAATTGAATAAAAATTTGTATTAGTAAATTGGTTCAAAATTAATGAAAAGCATTTTTAATACACATATAACATACTTGTAAAGAAAGAAAGAAGTTCAGAGAGACATTTTTATGAGGATCGGAAGTAAGATTATTACTACAAAAAAGTTATAAAAGACTCAATTTATGAGTAAACTTTGTGCATGGAATTCCTATAAGTAATTAAAATTATAAAGTGAAATTACAACTGAAGAATAGGAAATGTTATTGTGATAGAAGGCTAGGAATTGTAAAGGCTTGCATATCCAATTATTAAGAACACCTATGGGAAGTTGAATTGTGTTAAACACGTTAGGTAGAATGTTATGACAGCTGGGTGTAATAATCATGAAATAGATATTCTAAAAAGCTTTTTAATCGCTCGCTCGATGTTATATATATTGTAAATGACTGAGTAGGGTTAGTGTCTGACATCGGATCTGTCAATATTATAAGGTCAATATTTTTTTATCGTAAGAAAGTTTTAAAATTATGTATAACTTCTTTTAATATATTACTATATTCGACTGTTCTCTTTAACGGTTGCACTGACATTTCAGTTGGAATAAATTATAAATTTGTTGTTCGTCCATCAAATACTTTAGACAAATAATTAAAATAAAGCTTTTATCTATAGTATACTGTATAAACTAAAGAATATTTATAGTTAAAATGTTTAGAACCATTTTGAAAGAACTACGTCAGGTATACTTAAGACCATGCTTGCTGTTCCATAATTCATGTGGTTGATGTGTTATTTTAATAGTGCTATATAATAGTCTCCTGCATTTGAAGTATTGTAACTGAAGTATTGTAACTTTCATTGTAACTGTGAAAGTCATTACAACTATGGTACACCGACTCTTTTGGTTTAAGGTAAAAGGTTTAAATATTTTATTCGATTTGATAAACTTAAACTAGAACAACTAAAACAGCTTTTTGTTATTTATTTGGATTCCACTAAAATAGTGTAGTGAATTTAACATCATTTAGAGAAAAGTAAAAAGAGTGCCAAAAATGTATTTACAAATTTTTTAATAACTTTGATATCGCTTAGTTATTGCCGAGAAGCTGCTCTTTCGTTGAGTTTTTAAGGATAAGGTTATCTTAAATGTATCTCCACTAGCCAGAAAGCAAGAGCGCTTTAATGAGTTAAATATAAATACTCTTAAATGCATTCCTAATTTGTGAGTTGCTAACAATTTGGTACAGTTTACATAGTGAACCAAATTGTAAGTTAAATATTACACAATATTTCCTATATCCTTGCTTTTGTGACACTTGTATTGTCATAGGTATAATCAATCAAATGAATTACAAATGTGCTTACCACCCATGTAATTGATTAAAGGTTAAAGTTTTTATTCATTTTAGAGCGATATGTAAATGTGATTATCGTCATAATTAAAGAGAGGCAAAGGAGTGAATGCTTGCACCTATAACCGTGCCCAACACAGCCCATGACAGACAAAATATGTAGCTCTTATTTTTTCTCTCTTTCATTTCCGTGCCTTTTGCTTTCATATGCTTCACCACACTAATATACGTTTTTTTGTCTTTATGTGTTGGTCCAACACATAAATCAAGGGGTTCACATTTTTTTTACAAACCTCAATTTTTGCTACATTGAGGTTTTAGTTTTCTCAGCTTCTAATGTACGAGGGGTGTTTTCTTATTATTCTTATTCGCACAATTCTTGATCCGTATTGTTCTGCTAGACCATTTTAAACGGTACAGCGAAGATTCCTGCATTAATATGTTAACTGAGCTAAGGTGTGCTTAGTTTTTTTTTTGAACTAGAAAAAAGGATGTAAATGGTTTGATGATAGGTTCAATTTTGTGTTTTTTATTTACAATTGTCAAATCGCAAACCTCATGGACCAATTGATAAGTGACTTTTTTATTAGATCTTATTTCATTGACTCCATTTTCAAACATTTTTAAAAACAAATGTGTGAGTTTACGTTATTGGTTTAATCAATTTATCTAAAAAGTAATAAAAAACAACAAACCGCAGAGATTAAGAGAATATTGATGAGTGAATAAGTACATATATTGTATAATTTATCCTATTATTTCCCGTTCAATGCTCTTGTGGTATTAATTTTGTTAAAAATTGTTGCGGTTACTTTTATAAATATATGTGTATTTCATATTTTATTTTATTTAAACAGTGTTAATAATTTATAGTTAACTAATATGATTTCTTCTGAGACATTAGAAAAGTGCATTAGAAAAATGTACAACAAACATTTTTTATCATTATTATTTACCTCTACAGTTTACAGTGAGCTTTGGCTAGTATATGCTTTTTTATTTTTCACCCATTGGATTGCTGACCCAAAGCTACCTAAATTGCTTATCCCTGAATTGCAGACTATTATACTTTCAATTTTGTTGAATATTCCTTACATAAACACATTTATATAGCGAGCTTTATAGCATAATCTCTATGCTATAAAGCTATATTAACACATTATAGGTTAAGGATCCACAGAAGTTGGTAAATATATCTAAAACTAGCCAGCACGTCATGAGATTAGGACTTAAGTGTGATGGGCCAAATAGTAACTGTTATGCAGCCATTGTTATCATATCCTGTTTATTCCCATTATATAATAGTGGTGCATATGTGTTATTTGTTTAGTCAGCGTTATATACCACAATATATATAATAAAATAATGTATATGTAATCATAACGGATTTATTATTAATTTATATGTATTATTATTTTATATATATTATTATATATTTTATTATATATATTATTATTACCCCCAACGAACTTTCATTTTAACTTTAACTATTGTTGATTGATGGTCCGCAAAAAATTTCAATGTCAACCTTTTACTTCATTAGTAAATTATTTAATTTTATTCACCTGATAGCATAACAGAGATTGAAATTAATTTGCTTTCAATCTTTTGACATTAAACTTTTAAAATCCAAAAAAATCTGATTTTTGCATGATTCGCATGACAATTACTTTCGCAGTATGGAATAATAACTCAAAGCACCGAAATTAAGTAAATGTAGGTTGGGTCATGTTTGAATCAATATACATAACATACTACATACGGTACTGCGGTCAATGGATTAGTTTATAAAAAAATACAAAAATTTGTTTAGTAAAAGGAATTGCAAAGTCAGCTAGCAACAAATCAGTCTGTAAAGGTACAGTGGAATTAATAGCAAACATTTTATATTAAGTGGTGACATTACTCTTACACCATGCTCTTCGCTACACTTAAAATAAGAAACTATTTCTAAAATTTTTTATATATTGTTCTGGTATAAACGAACGACACGTTATTCTGTTTCAATTGCAATGTATCTTGCTTGCCGAAGTCTATTCTGAAGTATATCTAATGGATTATTCCCTTATACCAAGAAAACTCTTTAGTAGCTAATAAAAACTGTCGGCTGGACATCATAAGCTTAAATACACTAGACTAGTGAAGGTTTTCCCAAATTCATGCCAAGTATTAAAATTACTTTATTATCACATTTTTGGTAAAAATAAATTGTTTTAAAATGTTACAGTATTTTATTAGGAAAGATCATTCTCACTCGCCTCAATGTTTAGGGTACTCGTACCATCGATACTAGAATAATGTAATGCTTTACTATAAAGTGGCGTGTAGATTTATAATTTCAATCCGTTTTTTTTTCATTTCTTTGTTTTTAGCTTATTCTTACATAGGAATATGAATAAACGGGGTACCAGCCCCCAACGGAGCGGAGCACTGCGAGCATGGTTGATCTCTTGTGCTGCAACAGACCCTAACCGAACAGAAGACATTCTGCCTTCCGAATGAGACGGCCAGAATATCGGCCGTTGAGTGTCTTACATAAGTGACTACTACAAAGGTTAACACTTAGTCTAGTTCATGAAGGTCTATTAATGGACTATCTTCTTATTTCTTACCACTGTGTGTCTATTGTATTACTTCAAACAAAAGTAAAAACGAATCAAACAAAAGAAAACAAATAATAGCAATTAAATTAGAAGTCAAAGTCTGTACGCGTTCGAGAGTAAAACAAAATTTGACACAGATCCGCATTATACATAGATCGATTAAGTAATGCACCTACATATGCGATACGTACGATCAATCACACATCCGCATGTATGCATGCTCGTATGGTGGTATGATGAGTGAAACAAAAAATCACGTATGCGCTAATAAATGCGTAACAATTTCAGGCGGCTAAAATAATGAAATAGAGGAAAAATTGGAGGTGGAACGTGAAATGTGGAACAAAGCAAGTGTGTGTGTGTTTCTAAATGTTTGAGTGCGAATGTTAAAAGTGCAAGTACATGTACGTGAGTTGCTTTATGTCAGTTTGATCGGTTGTCGGGCTGTCAAGACTGTCAGACTCTCAGACTGTGAGCAATTGCAACTGCCATTGTGCGATCCGTGAACCGCGAGCGTTGCCACGAGAAGAATGGCCCATAAGAAGCTTTCAATGTTTAGTAAATGTTTGCGTTGCGAATGCTTTTAAGTTGTGAACAACACAATAATTTTAATCTTGTTTATTAGTTTTATTAAATTTAACAATTACACAAATAGTAATAACAACAACAACAGTAAGGAAAGAGCTCCATGGTAAGTAAGTACAACTCATCTTGTTGCCAATAAATTATTTTTATTAGATTTTAAGTTAATCCCATTATTGTTGCTATTGCCGTGCTTGTTGTTTTTTTTGTTATTGTTATTTTTTAAAGTTTTCTGGTATATAATAATTTGGGTCAACCGCAGCATGGAGAAGTTGCAAACAATCGTCATTGTTTGGTTTTTGGCTTATGGCTTATGGCATTAAGACAGGCAGTGGTTAAGTATCTGTTTGAATTCGATACCATCAATATTGATCAATTGCTGGTGATATCGATAACACGGTAATACCGTTTCATCTTATGACAAATAATGAATAATTAAAGATTTAAATAATGTAATATAAAAAATCTTAATTTCTTAAAGCGTTTAGCATTTAGTTAGGAAATATGTACCAATGAAGTGAAACACAGAGATTGTATATTCTGTAATGATATGAAGTAATATATTTATTTACCAGAAAAATGATAATAGATATATTGGTACATTAAGAAATTGATAAAACAGCCAATTGAATTTGCAAGATCTTTTCTTTATAAAGCATTTTGCGTTTCTAATATTGATACGGTAGTTCAGTGGTCCAACAGAATTAATTTTATCGCAAAAATCACCCTAGTAGATTACTAAGCATAAGAGGCATACTTTTAAAATTTCTCGTTATAATAAAACTTTTATAATTCTTTAAATATTAAATTTAATAAGATAAATTAATTAGAGATCTTAAGATCTTCTCTTGAAGTGATGCTCTTCCAGAGAAGATTTTGCAACTGTTTTAGATTTTTATAAAAGGATTGAAATACAATACAATAATGATTTCTAAAATTGTAATAGAAAAAATATTACATCACTTGAAATCATTAAATAGACAAAAAAAGTAGACTTCTACTTTCTAAAAAAAAAATTGCTTCTCTGATAACATTTAATAGATGGAGAGTACTAAAATTCTGCTTTTATTATATATATATATAGCAAACGGATTGTAAATCAACGTAATTTAGTAATACATTAAAATATTTTAGGATATAATACCAACCTTCAACATTTAATATCTTCAAATTCCTTTAAGGGCTATGTTATACAGATAGTCATATGACGAATGATCGCTGCAAGTTTATACTTTTTTTTTGGTAATAACCAAAATTCATGTTATACAGAGACAATTGTCAATTTCGTATTTTTGCATTAATTTCGCATTTGCCGTGAACATGACTGTCTGTATAACATGGCATTAAATAAATTTTAATTAAATATACCATATATATTATGGCTATATTATAGAAATATTATGTACACTAAAGATGATCTACCAAGTAATCCGTAATATTTGTATTAAAATATTTATTTTTTTTAAAATATGACAAATAATTTTAACAATAACTGTATACATGTTACTTAGTAATACCCGATTTATTAAATTTTATTGAAAAATGTCGAAAATATTAATTAATTATTAAAATAATTAAATATTATATGGTTGATTGCATTGACAGGCCATTAGACAACTTCCATGTACTTTAATTAGTGATTTTTCGCCGTTTTGATATCACATTCCTCGCATGAACTCTAGTATAGAAGAGTAAATACTAAATCCATCTCGCCGAATTCAAATAATTTAATAAGTCATTCGTCTTCACCGATGAACAGTCTGATAAACTATAATCTTCTGGGCGCCAAAGCCGGGCATTCACATAGAACATGTATTATGGTTTGTTTTTCCTGCGGGTTTTACAGTGAGGATTATGAGAAATGCGCAGTTTTTCAGCATGGGTACCTAAACATCAATGATCAGCAAGAACTGCAGTAAGCCTTGTACTGCTCACGCGGTCTCTTTTGATAAGTTCTAAGTATTTATTATTATTATAGGTGGGTCATGTTAATCTGGAAGTTGCACATGACTTAAGAACTTTCCATCTGTTATTGTTATTGTCTAGGGTAATATAAACCGGTACCGCACAACCAGTGACACATCCAGGAAAACATCAGAGCAGGCTAAATTGTCAGCTTTCTCGTTCCCTTCGATGTTTCCATGTCCAGGAACCAAGATGAGTGTGATATAAGCCAACCGATTTAGCTCGTCGATTATATTATATAATTATAATTATTTTATTTATATATTTTATAAAATAATTAAGCGTAAGACAAAAGCAAACTTGATACAAGGACGGTTAACATAAACATGATATTAAAACTAAAAATGGTTTCTATACCAGGCTTTCCATTGTATTAACTCTAAAATAAATCTGCAGATCTTGCTAATGTTGGGATATTGCAACTCGAAAGACATCAAATAAGAGTTATTTTCTGAAAATTCTCGTTATTTCAAAAATTTCTCATAAAATAGATTAAATTATAACGCAGATACGGACAACTGCGTCCAAGCAAATCGAAACTTATAGGTATATTGGAACACAGAATGATTAATATTTAATTTCTATATTATTATTTCATTTATTATATATGCTTTACATACTTTAATGTTATTTGTAATTAACAACAAATATATTATAATACAAATATAATATAATATGTAAGTATTTATAATTCCTTAATATTGTATTTTGTAAGATCGCAGAACAGGTTTATTGAACATAGTTGAAATATTGAAAAAATTAGTTCTAAAAAAAAATACCATTTAAAAAGCAATTAATTGTGCTTCAATTAGCTGATCAATAAACCCATTCCAAATTTAATACAAATATTTTAAATGAATTTAGGAAATTAAAGGAAACTAGAAAACGAGTCATACCATATACATGGTTGATTTTGTCCAAGACACAAATGATCGTTTCGATGAGATTCAATGTCACAATATAATCGAATAAGCCAACAGGACCTGCCATAATTCTCTCAAATTCAAATTTGTCTATTTAAGTATTTTATTTATTTGAATACGAAAACAATAAAATAATCCCATTAAGTTTAAATTTTTATTAAGGCGCCTAGTTTACTACCAGCTGTTTTTTTGTTATCGTGAAAGAAATCCGTTAACGACTCGTAATTAGTCGTTTAACCAAAGTTAATTGGAAAAGGAGGTTTCACACTCTTCGTAGCTTAAAATTAATTGTTCAACAATGAAAGTGAAAACTTATAAAATGTATAGTAAAAGCAAACGATCAAATATAGTAGAAAATAAAAGTGAGAAAAACGAACAGAAAATGACATAATAAATACAATAATTCGGACATAAACAACGAATATAAATCAATCGCACAAACTGCAATTATGAATGCAACTTCAACTTCAACTGCACGTATCCCAAAGTGGCGGGCCAAATGAGCGCAAACTACTAAAAAGTATCTCAAACGACACAGTATCTGTTACCAAAGTGAATGCGTTTAAAGTTTCTTGCCGCAACTGTAACTATACAGTAAAGAGTAGAAGAAGCAGAGAAGAGCACAAATGCACTATTGCGAGCCACTCAACTATTAAATGGAGTTTGAGAAAACCATTTAGAGTGACGTCACAGTTGGCACATAGATACAAATAGATACAAACAACTGCTTACAGTGCAGTGATAAAATCATAAAAACATAAAAAGAAAAAATATATAAAAATAAAAAAAAATAAATAGTTTGAAAAGCAAAGATACAGCTAACTTAACTTCAAAGAGTAGCCACAATTTGGATCTCATTTGGCAACCCAAGCAAAAAAGAAGAAAAATAGAAATAAATCCCAACAAATCGAGCCGTGGATGCCGAGCAAGGCGCTTATAAAAGCACAATTACTGGGCGGCTTACGGCAGATACTTTTTTGAGACGGTGTTGGACGCAGTAAATTTAAGAGTGCGGGCGTATATTTTTGTATTAATTATATAGTGAAAGAATTTGCTATAGAAAAGCAGAAGAAATTGAAAGTGAATTTTATTGAAAGAATTGAAATCAAAAGCATTTTCCATTAAAAATGAAAACGATTGTGTTACTTGTGGCCATTTTGGGTTTCAGCGCTGCCCAGCAACAAGGTGTTGATCCAGCGTACTTACGACAATACTATCAACAATTGCAACAACAACAAGGCAACTCCGGCGATGCAACGCCTATATATGAACCGAATTCAGAACAATCACAACAATATGTCAGTCCTGGTCAACAATTACGTGTCAAGGATAACGTGCAGGAACAAGTAAGCTAAGCAATAACATTAGTGCTAAATAAGTGTACTCGTAATTATATATATGAAAAAAAATCTGTCACTGTCGAATGAATACTAAAATATGAAAGTATTAAAATATATAAAATTTATCTATTAGATACGACAACAACAACAGCAGGGTGCTTATGTGGCACCTGCAGTGCGTGATTACTTGCAACATCAATCTCAACAAGTGAGTTGCGTTCCGGAGTGAAAATAGATTAATTTGAAATTTTTAGTGATAATAGTGCTTAAATGCTACTTCCATTTTTATTTTTTAATTTTATAAATAACATTTTGATTTTGTTTCCTTTCATTATTAGCAACAATATCAACCACAACCTCAACAAGTTGTCTATCGTCAACCGCAAGCTGTTACAGCACCACGTCGTCCACAGCCAGCTCCACAATATCAGGCGCAAATCGCACCTAAAGGAAAACTACGTCAACAACAAGAGGAAGAAGAATACGATGATGTAAGTTTTCAATAATATCTATATTAAAAAATCCATATCTTTTATGCGGTATGAAACCTTCAATAATCAATGTTAGGTTAGTTAATACATTAGATGATATCTATTATTATTTATATGTTCTATAAATAAGAATATATCCGATATTTGCTAGCGATTGATATTCTTCCTGCTCAAAAAGTTTAAATATGATTGAGTTTTTTTCAAAATACTATAAAATGAATAATGGAATTCTACGATGTCAGTATTTTTTATAAAATTAGATTTGAGAAAGCAATTATTATATTAGAGTGATATAAGAACATTTATTTCGATGAAGTTATTTTAGATTAAGTACTTTAAGCAGAAGAATACTTTAATATCATAATCGCCGCTAACGCTTTTTCCTTTAATACTTTAGTCTGCAATTATTATAATGTGCGTATCCCAACATATTTAGGGTATAACCTTATGGACCAAATTTATATTCTTTAATGCATTTTTAATGCATTACTCAGCTGAGTACCGTTTTGATTCTGGAGTATTCTTGTATATCTAGGTTTCATCTATTGTTATAGTATGGAGCCTAAAATTGTTATCACGAAATAACTCAAAATGCCTAATTACAAGGAATCAATAACACCTTGCTATTTCCCATGCACTGTGAACAAACGTGAATGCTACATATTCCGAACATATATTCGTTTTTGCAACATCAAATATTTGGGCAAAATAGGGCCCAATGTATATACATTCAAAATGATATATATTTATATATTTATATTCATTATTTATATGTATAATGAGGTATATCATGTATCATGATATATATACATGATATAGTAAGCTTTTCTGATGTTTTCTCTAGTAGAGTGCACGTCTTTTCATATCTGTATAGTTGCGTTTAAACTCAGTAAACTATCGGCAAGTAGTTGATTTTGACGGAGCAATATCTCTATAGCACTTTTCAAGTCATTGTTAGATATGCAAGGTATATTTCTTCATTAAAAAGCAGTGTTTAATCAATATACGATAGTTTTGCTTTCATTGTTTCTTATACAGCTATAATTCAATGTGTTATATTAGAAATTTTATGATGTTTTAACACATAATGCTAGAAGGTCGCTACTTTCTAAAAATCATATAGATTTTGTAGGAATACTAATGTCTGATGATAATGTTACTGTTGAGATTTGTTGAATGTTTTTTTTATAAAATATATGATGCATAAATATAGTGGTTGTTTTCAACTTAAGTTCGAAAGTCGCTGCTCTCTAAAACTGATATGTTTTTTGTACGATTTGTCTTGTCCGATAGTTAGTCTTTAGACTTGCTAGTAATGTTTTATATAAAACATATACGCTTATTTGGCTGCTTACCAATTACATTTTTCACATCCTTTACTTTCAATTGAAGACGATCTATCACAAAAGTTCAGTTAACTTAGACGAATCTTATTATATAAAATAATTACATATCTTATTATTCATATTTTTGTATAATGAGTATATTATGTTAGATGAATGTAATATATGATATAATATAATTTTTGCAATATATATATCTATGCATACATATTGCTACTTCACTTTGACTGTTTACATTACAATGAATTTAATAGTCAATTCCATACTAAGTACATATTGTATCTTCCACACCCAGTTTCAACTCCCATCAATGGCATTTCAATAAGTTGAAAACTTGCAAACTTTATTATTGAATGTCAAACATAAAATCGTTGGTTGGGTTCCAGTCTATTAAATTTCACTCAACGTTGTGATTGCAAAATTAAAATTGTTTAAATTTCCAACCTTCAACTAAAATTTAATTTATTTTGTACTTTTAAGTACGTTTTTTTAATTGAAAGGTTGCCATGCAATTGCGGCGGCTGAATTTCTTCGTGGACATTCGCCAACGTTACTAGAGCAAAATCGTAAATGTTGTAATGCATTTTTGTGGTGTAATGTAGCGTTAAAAAAATGTACGATTAAAAATTAAATTTAATTAGTCAATTAAAAATTTATACATTAAAAGCGGATAAAAGAAATTGAAAGTCAGATTTAACGCAAAATGCTGATTGCAATTTAATAATTATTTGTAATTGCTTACTGATTTACCTCAATAAGTATTAAGTGTTTTAAACTTACAAATCATTTTTAATTTTTAAATAATTTTTAATTTTTAAATAATTTTATTTACTATCTAATTCATATGACAACACATATACCCATACCAAGAATTTTCTGAAAAAGCTAATGACAATTATAGGGTTCCAGCGTTTTAATAGAAAGACAACTACTCGTATAATTATTTTTATTTTATTGGTATATGTAATTGGTCCAAAAAATTGCTTATAGTTCAAATTAAGACAGATTATATATATAACAAAAGTATGTGTATAGCATTGTATAGCATATAATGTATTTGTATGTTTATATCTGTATATTATATATATTATATATGGCTTCTTTTTTTCTTACTACTTCAAATCTTATGAGATCTATTTTTGCTTGTCTAACCCGAACAGTGACAAGCTATACAATATTATTTGATTCAACTTTTGATACAACTTTTCTGATCTTCGAAAGGTAGTAGTTAACATCTGTTTATCCAGTTAGTAAATCACTTTTTAATTTAAGTTCAGATCTATTTTGACTGAGTTACTTGCTTAATTTTTATTTCCCTGGAAGTCATTAAATAGAATTATGTTATTTTATATTATGCGTATTATTTTCAATATTTTTGATTTTCTTTTTCTTTCATGGATTTACTACAACTTACATTTGAAGTGTTAAACATTTCGAGTACCAAATTCGGTAATAGAATATTATGGTAGTACTCATGGTAAGGTGACAACAACAAAATATATGTTCTCGAAATGATTTTTGATGTTACTATTTTACGTTAATCTGTTGAAGCATTCTGAAACAGCAACATGTGAAGCTCTAGGGATATATATTTCTTCTGATAGTTCATTTCTAACTAAATGAAAAAAATTTTCAACTTTATATGTTAGTCCTTTGCTAGGCGAGTCGATTGAATACAGGTTCCCTTACAATCATTGTCGTGATTGTGAGTTAAAGAAAGAAGTGAAAAATGTTACTAATATATTTTTCCATTATGTGCCAATTGCTATAAGACATCTACACACTTTGTTTACTACATTCTTAAATATCTATCTGACATATCAAAGGTATTAACAATTTTATTGAAGCAATACAGGGGTTTCCCGCTTTCATATAGGAACAGTTCTATCCAAATAATTTTACAACTAGCGTATGTTGTTTAACAGTTACATCCCAATGAATCAAATTTTTATAATCCAATCGACTCCATTTTTCTGTGAATCGGACTATATCTACCATATTATATGTCAGTCATTCATGCCATAGAGAATATAATTGTTAAGATAAAAATGAGATTAAAATTGCAGACAGCCTTTGTTAAGCTATGTTTTTAATTTAAGTAAGCATTTTATATACATATTTTATAAATTAATAAAACTGAAATTGAATAGAAAAGTTGAACTACTAATAGAATGTTCATTATTGTGAAGGACAGTGGCACACCGTGGCCATCTACATAGGCTGAAATAAAAGGATGGTAGATGAATGGTAGATGGCATTCATTGCATGCTGTTTGACAGAAGAAGAAAAATAATAGATTATTTAAGAAATATAAATTTGCTTCGTGGGTGTAAGTAGGAAACCTTTTACTTCTCAGACTCTCTGTTTTAATATTTATTCAATGTTTTAAAGACACTTTTTTACAAATGAAAATTAAATAATTAACTATAATTACATGTTATATATTTATATATTACGTCATACATATCCGTCAACATTTTTGCTTATAAATTTGTTTTTAATTCATTTGGCTGTATGCCATAATCATTTTTTCCTTCTTAAAAAAAAGGAAAATAATGCAAAAATATACAAGAAATTTGCATAATATTTTCATTATAATTTTGAAAGTTTCCCGCTGTATATTTAATCTCCCAGACTCCAACGCTTTTCTGGTTCAGCGTGCAAATGCATGCACGCATTGCCTACAGCAAAATTAGATACTTCACGAGTATCTGTAAAATATAATATAATATAAAAAAAAAACAAAAAGAAACGAACTAAGACTCGCCTTACATGTTTGCAACATTTTCGCCAAATATAATAAATGTTGCGAATAACACTCAGCAATGTCGTTTATGGACAATGAAAAATGATAATTGTTGGCATGGTTCGTTGGTCCGTTAAATGGTCATTCTTCGGATAATGCCAAACAAAAAGTTCATTAACACTTTTCTTGCATTACCAAAAGCCACAAACAACAAACATTAAGCAGCAAACAACAAATAAGCAAACATAGCAACAACAAACAGAAACAACTTAAACAATAAACAAATCAACCGATTAACGAGTCCGGAATAAGCAATCACTAGAAACAAGTTGTTGCTGCTCGTCATAACAGTAGCTTCGACCAAAATAACTTCCACCCGTGGAGGCCATGGGAAGCACATAACTCACAACTGCTCCAAAACTATAACTCATAAGCCATAGACTGACTGCACGCAAAATGCAATATTGTGGTTGCTGGTTGCTGGTTGCTGCCTGGTTGGTGGATGGTGGATGCGAGTGACTAGCTTAGCTTTAGAAGCTAAGCGGAGCAGCTGCATAACTGTGGATATGCGGAAGTTGGCGTGTGTAATTGGCAGATGCATATGCCATTTTTAATATCAATTTTGGTTACTCGCTTTCAATGTGTTTCCATGAAATTTATAATGATTTTTTAACAATACAAATCGTGCCTTTCATTTTATATATTTATTGGGTTTTGATATGTAAATTGCTAACATGCAAATTACAGGCATCATACAAACTAAAATGTGTGAACCTGTTTCGTGTATCAATGTGTCTATCACTACAGCATCATCAAAAATCAGAAAAATAAAAAACTTTTATATATTTTAATTAGCTGAAGGAGCTGAAATGCATTTTACCCTAAATAAGTTGAATGCGCTGGTTATACTGGTTTAGTTGCATATCTGAAGTATCCTACTTTTCAAACATCACACACATTTATGTTACGCACCTATTTACACACAGTCGTCGGATAGTTGCTCAACATTACTCGATAGCCTACAAATTGCCTAATATGCTCTATTAATACCAGCTGAGATACAAACTCTGATAGCAGAATTATGTACTCATGTGTTCAAGTATCTTTAAAGCTTGTTGCACATTTTCCTTTCTTTTTTAAATTTATGCCTTTTTAATTTAATTTTATTACCACGTTGCAATCATACATTGAAAAGTGCCACAATCAGCAAACAATCCATTTGAAGCCAAACCCAAGTTACCTTCACCTACTTCTCGGTCGCTGAAGCCAATCATACGCATTTCATGTTTTCTGACTGATTCCTACAATTTTTTATCCGGTCGCTCAAATTGTTCTTTTGCAACAAATGCATGGCAATATTACTTCTTTTGGCCTCCAGCAACATCAATTGTTGCTTGTCTGTGTTGCAAGCAACAGAATTTATGCTTCAGTCTTTACAGAAGTCTAAAGTCTCGAATATTCAAAATTTTCTTCAGCGACATTTCGCACTGACCTTTCAGCCCAGCTGCAGCCGTAGGTGTGTTGTTGGACTCTTTGATTAAACTAACTTACAACCAGCTCAATTATAGACGTGAAGAATCATGATGGATATTTCATAAAACTATAATTAACATTTAGGTCAAGGTATTTCCATCCAACAGCTGACGATCCTAAAAACATAATATTCAATAAATTCGATCTGCTGTGTTCTTTCAAAGAAGTTCACTGCAGTTAGTATCTGCCTGAGTTTCATTCCAAAAAGAATTCATAAAAATAAATTAGTGAATTAAAGCTGAGTTATAATGCTATAAATATATTATTTTTTACTAATAAAGTTTATAAAGTTTTTCAGCATACGAAATATCTTTGAGTTTAGTCTATAGAAATTAACGACCACAGATGATAATATAATAAATATAAATATAAAGAAAAGGGAAAATTAGAATACAAAAAATTCGTTTCTTAAGATTTTCTCAACTACAACTTACATATTTCACGACTCTATTTAAGAGTTTTATATTTATATACTTACTTCGTCCTTAGCCGCGTCGAGTAGTCTCCGCCAGCCAGCCCGATTAATTGCTTGCTGTTGCCAGTTGGTAGTACCGAGTGCCCCCTAATTGTTGGTCATCTGGTCCTTCCAACGAAGATACGGACTTCCTCTATCGCGTTGCTCCACTGCGGGCATCGAATCAAATAACTTTCTAGCCGAAACAGTTTTTTCTATTCACACGACATGACCAAGCAAGAGGAGCCGCTGAATTTTTAACTCATAACACATACAGCTCATTGTTAATGTTTATTTAGGGATTAGAATTAATTACATTAATAGCTCTGTGATGTTAATAGTCTGTTTATACTTACAACAGACCCTTCCCTAATAACTTAGATTTAATATAGTCAGACTTACAAACGAAGGCCAGAATGTTTGTTTCTGAGGCGTTTCTAACATAAAGTAAGGATCCGATTTTTTACTCAATGCTCCGCTGCTGGTCCTTTGTTTAAGATTTAATGGGTATTATTAGTTTTGGTTGGTCTATTTTGTGTCACGTTGACTAATGTTGTCGGATAGCTAACTAATAGAAATTAAACACATCCTTAATGATTGGCACTTTAGTTCGAAATCTAAATTGACATTCTAATATTTATTCTTGGGTCATATATGTTAATTTCTACAGTTTTATTTCTCTTCGCCTTGTTTCTTAATTTTTGCTGCTATTTTTTCTTCCATCTTCTTCATTTCTGTTGTTGTTAGTGAAAGTGTGATTACAATGTAAGAGCTGCCAGGTTTACAAAGATGTAATAGACGAAAAATCGTTGTTGCTGCAGTTGTCTGTAGGTATGAATGTAAGTAAATATTAAGTGCACTGAGAAGTGATTTCAATATTTATTATTTTATGAAAGAACCAAAGTTTATGAAAGAACCATACTTGGTTCTTATATATTAATAACATGGGTACATATATATTAATAATATTCAAAATGAATTCCATCAGTGAGTTATAAAAAGTTTTCTTTTCAATGTGAATTTCTAAATTCTATTTACATTACGAGTATATGTTACTGATGTGGATTTTGTGATGTGGAATAATTTTACTTAATTTACTTATTATTCAGTTATCATAAGTTAAATATGGTTGTCACGGTTATCTTAGGAAACTTCTTAGAGCTGTTAGCACATTGCTTTGCTAAATAAATTTTAGATGATTTAAAACCGCTTTAAACATTTAATAAATGCTAAGATGCTCTGTATGGAGAGGTCTTGTAGTTAATTAAGATCATCTAGAAAGCAAGTCCTCGAATGTGGTAGAATTTTATAAGGCAGATGAATGCAGATAATTCGTCCCCTTACAGCGTCGGCAGAAGTCATTGAAGCTAATATTTAGCCACCTCATATGTATTTCTTACAATAATTCGATTCCAACGTACTTATAGATGCACTTTAAATATATAATTAAACAATTGAAAACCTTATAAATAATATTTAGCCATAGCTAATTTCTTAATGAATTTGTTGTGTGTTATTTACTGCTTCATATTTGGCACTGTATGAACATTAATTTTGATTTTAATGAAGTTGTTTATTTAATATTCAACGTCTTACTAATAGTTATATATATATATATATATATATTGTGTTCATTAAATTAAATTAATTGCAACATCCTAAACGAACACGCCGCCAAAACCGCTGCGATCGTGGCGATAAATTTAGATACTTTTTGTATTTTATTATGAAATGCATTTTATGAAAAAGCTAAAGTCTTATTGAATTTACAAGTATCTTGCTTGGGTTGTAGGCCGGTGTGCGTTTATCGTTTAATAGAGCATTGATATTAAATTTGTATCAATTCACTTTCACTCGCAAAAATCATTTATGCGCGACAGAAAATCGTACGAGGCAGTTAGCAGTCGGTAGTTAGCAAGAGGGAAACTCAAGCCGCATGTATAGAATTGCCAATGAGCCTGTGCCAGCCACAGTCGTCGCTAACGCGCACCAGAATGACGCAATGAGGTAAATGCCAAACGATTAACCAAGAAGGCGACAAAGGCTCACAGACTTTTGGAGGTATTTTGTAACTAAAAACTTTTAAGCTCTTTACCTGCCTAACTTAACGTTAGGCCCATGTACTTGTTAGTCTCTCTGTTGACTGTAAAATGGTCTGTGAACGAATCCATTGACTGCATTTCTAAAAATTAACACACGAACCAGTTACACAGCTGGAGTTCATGCCATGCATGCATGCGGCAAGTAATTGTACTGCACAGCAATTGCCTACTGCAACATGTGCAACTAACACGGTTAACTGAACATGAAAGATACAAAACTGCAAGATGTTGAATATGCAATAACCTTCTTTTTTCTCTTCTCAATTTCAGCAAAATTCTTCGTATCAATTTGGTTTCGATGTAAAAGACGATGAATTCACCAATTATCAAAATCGAAAGGAGATCCGTGATGGTTCCGTGATTAAGGGCAGTTATTCAGTTGTGGATTCTGATGGCTTCATACGCACAGTCAAATACACCGCAGATCCTAAAGAGGGTTTCAAAGCTGAAGTTATACGTGAACCAACAGACATTGTTGTCAAAGTTCCTACACCAGCGCCACAACAATTGATCCGTTCGGGTCCTCATGGTGGACACAAATCACAGGAGTACTCCAAACAACAATACCAACCACAACAATATCATCAATATCAGCAATAGAACTTATAATACGAATTTATAGTTTAATCGTGCACCCGAGGGTGTGTCGTTAAGTTTAGCATTTAGTGTCCTTGCTTCACTAAGACTAACTAAACGGAAGCTGTTCGCTTGCCAGAGTTATCGCAGCCTCCCAAGTCTGATCTTTATATTTAAAACTATTGAGTTACTTTATGCCTAGTGTACATCCATTCAATCTGTTTTTAGTTTTAAATTTTTTTGTTTTTTTATAATTTGATGAACTTCAGTTCATTTCAAAGTGGTCATCGTACTCATTAGTCTTAATTTAAATAAACATTAATCAAATTAAATAATAAACAATTCGTTTTTTAAATAAAATAGATATTGGAGTCTCTATCGTCCGTGTTATCCATGTAAGAGATTTGACGGGGTTCTAGGCCACAGCGCTAGCTTTACTTCGAATAGCTTAGAGTACAACTTTTTTGACTATCACAAATATATGAGACAGATATTTTCTCGATATTCAAAATTCTACATCTAATATCTTCATAGATTTTTCAAACTATTAAGATTGGTTTTGTGTTTGTTTTAATATTTTTCTATTTTGCTTAAAAGCAAAATCAATATAATCAATATAAATCAATGTGTATATTTCATAATCTATGAAGAGCCCATAACATACATCTGTGTGTACATTTCATTCGATTGCTCTATGAAAACTCCTTTACTACTCTAAACGTGATCTTTCATCCAGTAAAAATGTTTTTTGGCCAAGTACCATCTCTAACAACGACAAAAATATTTAGATCAAGAGAAAGAAGTGGTGATAGATAGGTCATACGCTTCATAAGAACAATTCAACTATAGCGTGAACGTTCCTTATATTCGTTAACCTTGCACTGAATGGTTGCGATATATTTATACAGAACATTGGCAGTTCGAATTGTAGGAAGAAACTCAACATAAAGTTCGTGGGATATCAGAATAGAAGTCTTTTTTCCGCCTTATAGTGGTATCAAGAGCGAGCGATGGTAGAACAGAAATAGGTGGAGTATACTTCGATCTAAAATTGAAGCAGTTAGTTGGGTGGAGTTTTTTTTCAGCGTTTTTGATGCCATCACACTTACAAACACATCAGATATTAAACACACATATATAAGAATATGTTTATTGTTACATATTCGCAGTATTTTGAATTATCATACAAGCATATGTGTACGATATAGGTGTAGAGTGTTAATGACAGATCTCAATGCATTCACATTAGCATATCTTTAAAAATATATGTGGAATATTGGCACCAAATAATCACATAAATTATATGGGTATGACTCCCAATTATTAACTAATCAACAACAGAAATTGTCTCAATGCAGTGAAATGCTCCATCTCCAACAGATTATCATTGCTTTAAGGAACTAAAATTATTTTAATATTTGAAGAGTAACGATTTGATAGGAGTCAATCAAAATTAATTTAGAAAGCAAATAAATTCTATTTACACATAAAAAATTAGCAAATAATAAAGGCTGAGGGCATCAAATTATTCTCCCAGGCTTTTAAGGAATAAACTAGACAAGATGCCAACAACAAAAGCCAGAACTGTGTCTATGAGACTTGTTTTGCAAGAGCACCAACATACAGGAAGATTCATTGATTCTCCCTTTGGTGCTATTCTGGTCATTGCTTTGTTGTGGACCGGTCAGACCGGTTCGGTTCAACAGCAATACAAGAAGTTGGCTGGCGTTCTTGAATAAATTAATTTCAAACCTTGTGAGAAAATACAAGTTAACTCTGTAGCGAGTGCATTCTTCTAAAAATTTCATTGATATCTCCTTGCTAAATAAATAAAATGTAAAAATGTCCTTTTGCAATGTCCTTGCATATATTATTTCAAACAGAAATCGAATCAACAGAATGAAGTGTTGGGAAAAAGGGTTGATTGCTGTCTTATCACACTCACAAACATCTTATTGCAAATGATGATGACCTCTGATAGATATGTTTTGACAAAACCGGTTCTGGACATGCCAAACGTTTACAGAATTGTGTTAATGACGTGCATTATTGTATCAAGTAAAGGGTATGAAGCATAAAAGCATAACCAAATAGTTAAATTCGAAGATATTTCCAATGAAGGACAGTAATAACTTTGAATAATTTTTACATTATATTGATTTTGACGAACGGACGTCAAACCAAATTTAATATGCAAATAGATATGTGTGGTCGGAAGGACAATGTCCCGTTTTGGTATTAACACAAACAGCTGGACATGTAGTGTGATGCCTCCTTTAATAGATGCACAATGTATCATAATATAAGAGGAAATTAAAAAGTACGAAGAATTTATGTAAATGTAATGCAGCTACTAAGAATCAAGGCATCTGAAGAGCGATCCTTACTTTGACACTATAGCGGTAAAAGTGCAACAACCCTTGTTCCTGTATGCAATTCATTGTGCGGTGTTAGTCATTTTTCTATCTTAAATGCATTCCTCGCACCCTTTTCTTTAACCATCATTACAAGAAAATTTACATATCCTCATAGCGAACATTTATATTGGTTTATTGTGAAAGGACATCGAACCAAAATACATGCGTGAAAGCATTTTACATCTCTTCGGGTCATCTTCGAAACTGGTTTGTCAAGTAATCACAACTTTCCAATCCAAAAATTGACCTTTATCCTTGAGATAGAGAGCAATAAGGAAGAGTAAGGTTGGAAAAGTAGACTGACCACTTTTGTCGTGAGAACTTTTATAAAGGCCAGCTTGTAAAGAAATTCAGGAATCAGGACTAAACTTTATACCTGGCGATAAAGGAATGATCTTTGTTAAAATATTTTATTCTCTTCGATTTCATTTCAATAGTCGACTGCTGCTGCCTACAAAGGGCTAAGTTTGCATTTTCCATTTTCCATTCTCCAAGTGATGCTTACTGGCATTGAAATGTAAATGAAGCGTGCATTTTTCGCATTGCTCGTGCAATGAGAGAACAGAAAGTATGATTTATATTCCTCACTGCCACTGTTTTTATTATGCATAATAAAATTTTAAATGATTTTAAATAAATACGAAATAGAAGTGTAAAGTCACGTTTCAAATGCAGAAACTGTTAGAGCAGCTTAAAGCGCTCCCTGTACCAAATTCCAGCGATGTGCACCGTATCCTCCCGTCTTATCAGCCCAAACAACCTTTAAGCAGAAAAATGCATTAATGCGTGAAATTTGCATATCTCAAGTCATGATTGCGCTTACCTCACCCTTATAACGATTCCCACCATTGAAAGACTCCAAGCGCTGTTCAAACAAATCTGGCCTATCCTCAACGTGTCCATATTTAAGTTGTTGTGGTCCATCGTATCTGATGAAAATATCGCTAAATTGAATAATCAAAATACTCTTTTAAATCAAGGAAATATAGCGAAGTCAAAGTCGAAGTGTCTTGTATTTGCAACCCTTACTGAAAATATCGTGTTTCCTTCAGAGGAGTGGAGTGATGTGTTGTCTTCACAGCAACAGCAGCAGGATCAACAATTTTTTTGTTGCCAGATTCATTATTCCGTGCAATTGATTTGATTGCTGTTTTCGCTGCATCATCAAGACTATCATCCACAGTTTGACGCCTTTGGCGATGTTCATAATGGAATTGATTTTTAATCGGCAGCACATGCACTATTCTGCTATTGTATTGCACTGGAGTTTGAAAGTAAGAGACTAGAGCAGTGTCAACGCCTCTGCGTAGTGGCTTTGCATTGATCTGCGTTTGCAATGCTTCTGGTTGATGGTAATTGCCTTCCTTACGATATTTTGCAATGTCAGATTTATCGTTTACACTTTTCTGTGGAAGGACATAGATCGGTTGTGCAAAACTCTTACTGCCATCTACATTTGCATTCAAGGTTACGGCATTTCGGTGTATTGGCCGCAGATTCTCTGAAGTATTAGAATTATTTTGAGTTTGTGTTCTAAAATGCTTAAAACGCGGATCGTAATTTAAGGGCGTAACACTTAAGGCGTTTATGGAATTGATTAGTAACACAGTGAAGTAAACGACTCCCAACACCATTTCAAGTTTTAATAAAATCGTACAGAAAACTGCGAAGTTTTTGATCAACAATTGCCAAATGCCAATCAATTTATACCTCAAATCTCGCAGTCCAACCTGTGGCAAGCTTCCGTATTTCCACTTGCGAGATTGTTAATTGTGCTTCAGTGTTGCTTCCTTCAACTCAGTCAATAGTGCATGAAATTGTTACTTGTTCCCATTGGCATTTCATGAGAAAATTAGTGCACAAAAGCAAAAACTGCGACAAAATGAAGAGGAAACAAACTGAATTGTGTAACAAAGTCATTTGTATCAGTATCTGAGGCAGTGAACGATTTTAGGGTCAAAGCAAAGTGATTCAAATGGAATAATTCACTTAAAACCATAAGATATAAGAAAAAAACATTAGCTAGACAGGTTTCATTTCGAACTCTTCTTTAACTAAGTGATGTGCGAAATAATTATAGTTTATTAACATCAAATTTTTAATCATAATCAGATATTTGATATGTTAATAATAATATTGTAGTATTTGTCCTATACTCTTTCATATGCTAGAGCTAATACCGATAGTTATTTTAGAGGTTTTTATCATTTAATTGAAATTTATTTTTAACATATAGCTATAAAATATTGCAGTTGTTAAACACTTTCATTAACAACATTACTATGATATATCTCATACCTTCAATAGCCATGTATCGAATAAAATTATTTAGATGTTATCGTTAAATACTTTGTAAGGTATACTTAGTGTTGTAATATAACAGAAATGAAAAACAAACGACCAATTTTATCACTACGAAACTGTTTTAGCTTTGGTGACCTGTGTCTTTAAGCTGTCTGACCTACTAAATAGTTCTGCGTCTTTTCAGTTGGTCAAACTATCAGAGTAGTGGACTGCGATTTTGAAATAGTATAATCCTATAATCTAATAACTGATAAAAATATTAATGAAGATATAGGCATGCGGAGGCTTAAGCCCATCAAAACTTAGCACAGTCATCAAAACTCTTTATACTCAGAAATCTTACCATAACATTTAAACTACTACTGTATAAGACAAATACCACCGCGAGAAAACGAACTAAAACAGTTCCAAGATAAGGTATGCCTGTTGTAAAAGGCAACTTAAATCCAGTAGGCACCACCCAACACTATTTGAAGAATAAACAGTAGTGAGTGAGTTATACTTTTGGCACCCGAACGAAGGTGGAAATCTGGTACTATCCTGGCCAATTGTGGTTGGCCCTTTAAATAGGAATATCGTGGTAGCTGCGGTTAAAATACAAAGTTACGCAGGTAGAATGATTGTATCCATTACCTTCAATGCGTATAGAGTTTCATTTTCTAACGTGGTGATGTGCCTCATAGAACAGCAGAAGTATTAGATAGGACTCGCACCGAAGGAGAAAACTATAGCCAATCGTATAGTCTTTTGACCTCATATGTAACAAAACACGATTCCAGATATGGTATAATCACGATCTACTTTGAAGCAGCCGAATTGTAATCAATGGAGAGACTTGTTGAATGAGGTCAAGACTGGATTCCGGTTATAGGTCTAATGATGATGATATATTTGACTATTGATACCTTAAGCTATTTACGTTGTACTATATATGGTTTTAAGAATATGTGTATATTGTTTACTTTACACGTAATTTAAAATTACTATTATAATTTGTAAAATTATTATATAATATTGTATATGATATGATGTATATTTTATTATACATTTAGGTATATATTTTATTAAAAAGAAACAAATTTTATAATTGTTATGTTTTGTGTTATATTTCATATGCTATTTGTTAAATACAGAATGGAAAATTCTGAATATTGCTAATCAATAAAATTGATATACTAAGAAAGTATAGGGTATAAAATAACAAAGCGATAAACCGTACCTACAGTGTAAAAATAGTGACGACTACGACGCTTGAAGGGGTGTTTAATTTGATTGATCAACTCACAATCGGTATTGGTGGAGAGATTTGTAGAGGAAGACTTTAACTGAGTATCGGTACTATTGTCCAAAGATTCTGTTGTATTATAAGACTCTACTGTTCACTTCTTGTAAGAAGAAATATTTTAACTTGCGAAAGATAATTACATATTATATATATATCGAAATAAAACTTATATTAATTTCTTGCTGAAGCTTTAAAGATACGTAAAAGACGTGCTTTCATTTGTGAGTGTATCTGCTACCAATCAATCACAACACCTTTGGTTCAGGAACTTTGAATGTAGATTCGTTTTAAATTAGATTTCCAAAGAATTAATAATAAAAAGCCATTAAAAAACAAAGACGGTTTTAAAATTAATAATTTTAGTGGTTGATCTTGTTTAGTGAATGATGTTTAGTGAATGTAAATTACGTTGTACGGATCTTCGTGCGGAACTTCACTTATTGTATCAAAAGCGTTGCATGTTATAAGTATATTAAATCCTAGATATGGATACATTAACATAAACAGATAATATATAAAGGATTATTATTGAAGGTATTAATAAAGAAATATTAATATCTTTGTATGTATTGTGTCACTTATATAATTTTGTAGATATTTCACCAAAAAAAAATACAAAAAAAAACAGTTTATGCACTCCATTTTTTTAATCTATTTTCGTATCCATTCAACTTTAATTGATTTCTTTATATTTTTGGGTTAAAAATTCGCCCTTTTTGGTAGTTTTTTATTCTTTTTTATTCTATTTTTAGCACCATATATATATATATTTATATATATTAAATGTAAACTGATCCTTGAACAATACATTGTTTCACAACTCTTTTATTCGGAACCGCGTTTATTGCTGGCTAAGGTTAGACTATTCTTCAAACTGTGAACCAGGTGTGCAAGAGGCGATTTTTGCAAATGCCTGAAAAATAATTACGCATTATGGAATAAAACTAATTTGCATAAGTAACGAACATTTCAACTCAATGACCTTAAGAAAACATATTCTGACAATACCTAGTAAATAAAATTCCAAATGGAATAAAACCGTTGAAGTTGGCACACATAAGATATTGTCTTTAATAAACCCTTTATATGTATTTTGCTTGAATATTAAATAAACTAAATTTATATAATATAAACTAGAGAAGTTTCCCCTTCAGATACACACTTCACTTCTCATACAAGCAACACGTATGTTATTCAGATATGTAAAATAGTAAGCAATCTTCTTGCTGATTGGTCTATCCGTCTTCACCACAAGCAGTTACCAACAATTACTCATTCTTTCCCGCCTAATGGTATCAAAGTTCATCGAGGGTTGAAAATTGAATACATATACATCTCACATACAGTCTCTGATCAGCAGAAAGTACGACCTATGCGCTTGTACATAGAATGTCTTTAAGAGAATTACTCGTATATACTTTACGTTAAATATCTATTGTATCTACCATTCAAAGAACTCACCCCATTTCAGCACGTATACGGAGGCATACGGAATATCTTTGCTGTTGGCAACTATCGAATGTAACTGATCATTCAACTTTTGCAGTTGAAGTGCAAAGCAACTAAAAATATCTGGAATTAATTTTCTATTACTTTAATAAATTTTTATAGTACATTTTCGTAAAAATACGTGATCATAGATTGAACGATCCTCACTTCATATTCGACTCAAAACTCGGTAAGTTTATTAAATAGCAGTGATTTTGTTAATTTTAATATATTTTTATTTGTTAACAACTTTTGTACTTCATACCATTTACACGTACAAATATTAAGCATAATTAATTAATAATTTAATAATACCATTTTGGTAAGAAATGTCCTTGCTAATCCTGCAACAATAATTCAGTGCTTTCATTTTCAAAATTTTGCAAAAATAAACTTGTAATTAAATTAACTCCTTATTTCACTAATCAAACATTTGGCTATGAGGAATAAAGTTCTTCGCATCCACTATGCCGTCACAGCTCCTATTAAACGGGTCGTTCTGACTTAATCCGTCATGTCCACATTGTTCATGCGCATCTTGGCGAAGTCTTCAAATACAATGTTATCATCATCATCCTGATAATAACCTTTGACATTGCGATGCTGTTCGATGGACTTCATTTTCTTCATGGCATTCGAGCGTTTCTTCTCAATGGTACCTGTAAGTTGAAAAGTGGGAGAGAAAGAGAGTGAGAGATAGATATGTGTAAATTTTGAAAATGCTCGAACTCACCTGGTGCAGGTTGCAATAGTTTGAAGGGTACATCTGTTTGCATCTCACCACCCAAAGTGCCACAGTTCAATTTAATACGCACAGAGTACGAAATGACAATACCACATGCGTCACCTGTTGATTTGCCTTCTTGTACTAGAGTCGAAGAGGCCAAATTGACGTCTTCGTCCTTTAAGTGACCATCCAATGCAATACCTGCGAAGAAAAGTTGTGTTATTGTTTCACTTACTAACGTCAGCAGGTGTTTATTGTTTCAAAGAAATTTAAAGTTAAAAGTGCTATTAAAAGAAAAATTTATTCAATGAGAAGTTGGAAACTAAAACCCAGTCAAGTGGAAACAAACACAGACAGCGAAAATGTGTCATAGATCAATTTGCTAGGACAGAGTTAAGAAGGAAAAAATATAATATACCATAAATATTAAACGTTAATAGTGGATATCTTATATACAGTGGTTGGTATCGAGTTTATGCTCAAACTATCATTATTATATTGTAAAAGGTTACTTTGATGTAGTTCTGTAATTTTATTAGTTCCATACTGACCTAAAGAAAACAAGTTTTAAAACTATTAAAATTCTGCTCCAGTTTAGCTGCATGGATGATTCACTAGAGAAATTTTGATCACAATAGACCTATTATATTCTATTGTATATAGGAGTTTATCTTGTCTTCCATGGGAAATCTATATTTATCTGTATCTGTAGAAGACTCAACTATTGAACTATTCAGACTTTCACTTTATGGAAGAAGCAGCAATTAAGTTTGTCTATTTGAATCGCGTCTCATAGCTGTTCTTATGCCTCAGATTACGTATATATATATATACCATATCTTGATGGTGGCGAAGATAGCATCATAGTAGAACCAACTTAACATAGTTTTTCTTAAAGTTCTATATACTATACGTACACTATTAGTACACAATAACTTTTATTTTTAATCATCAAATTATGCGGAATTTATTGTTAATATACTCTTACAAATAGCCACGATATTTATTAAAGTACCCGTACTTTCACGGAAATAATAATCTGCGTCGTAATCTACTACAAATATACTGCTGTAAAATTTAGTAATGTACTAATACCTAGACAGATTTGTTCAAATTAAATCCTAAACACTTTTTAAGTGTAGTTGCTGAGACCATACAGAACAATAGGTGAGGCTCAGTTCTAACCATTTCAACACAAATACCACTATATTGGCAAAATCAATGGAATAAATATTAACAGAAGACGGTTTAATTCAATGAAAGAGAGATAACACTTTTTCTTTTTTCCAAAAAGATAAAAGTAATCAAATTTTGTCATTTAAGCTCGAATCAGGTCAAGGTCGCCATGCAAAATGTAGTCTTTCCGTATTTCAACAGCTGTTGGATACTATTGGTTCAAGGAACACTTAGGATCCAAAGCATGTGATATAGATTTTGATAGATTTTTTATAATTTCCTTTTAAATATATTAAAGGAGATTATAATTTCAAGAAAGTGTGAATTAGTAGGAGAAATTTTTTTTAATCAAGAGAAAGTTGAATTCATTGAATTTCTGAATCACTTCGTTTCTATAAAATTCTTCCTCCAAAATTTATAAAAATAATTTATAAAAAACTGCAATTGCTGAACTTACCATGACGATCTTTATTGTTCGATGCCAATGGTATTAAATAGAATGTCTTTGTAAGATTTGCACCAGGTGTAATTGGACAACCTTCCTTAGTCTCCAACTGTGCTACATGCTTGCTGAATTGAGCATTGACCATTGTAATTTCAGTGTGTTGCACGATATAGCATTTGATGTTCTTAACGGCTTTCTTGGAGTTATTACTCACTTGCACAGTGACAGCTACCTTCTCTCCATGATAGTAAATCTCACGATCCAATGTAACTTCCAAACTGATTTTACCATTGGAGAAAGTGAAACCTTTGCTAACAAGTGAGCTAGGCAAGCGCTGGCCACGAGTTGGTGGCGCATATTGCAACTTCTTAATAACCAAACTGACCATGCTGCGCTTGTGTTGACGGTCATCTTCAGAATCAGCTACATAGGCACGAATGTTGTACTCAATGCCCAATGGCTTACCCATATCATCGCCTTCCTGTTGTAAAGTGACGGAGCTTGGCGAATTTGGTGGGAACTGGAAAGTGAATGGGTGTGCATTTTGTCCCAATTTGCGTACTAATTTTTCTTGCATTGGAGTCATTTCCATATTTGGATTGGTCATGGGTACAATTTGCTCACGGCATAACATGAGCTCCTTGGAAAATTTGACACCCATAACTTCATCCTCTTCGCGGCCATAACGATAGGTGGTAACGAGTTGACCGAAAACGCGACGACCTTTCAGATAATCGGGATCGACAACAATGACGCCGTCAATGGGATCACAATAATCCAAGTGATCAATGAAGTCGCGACGACCCAAATAGAAAACGACTTTGCCATTGGGTGTGGCTTTCTTGAAAACTTTCACCGATACAACCATTTTACTCGAAAATGCTATTTATTTTTTTTTTATTTAAATTGTTATTTCTTAAAATTATTTTCACTTGCAAGTCGCTGCACTTTTGGGGGCGAACTGTGCTCGTTTTGCTCGTGCCCACTTGCTTATATACTTTCAGTGCAACCTTTGCAAGGGTTTCATTTCACACTAAATGGATTTGCCTATTATGAGACTTGCTGTTTTTTTACTAAAATAATGCTTGTTTGGTGATTTGTATTGTTTTTGTTGTCTAACTGCTGAGCGGTTCTACAATCTGATAAGGCATTCATGATTTGCGTGATTTGAAGAAAATGCAGTTCTTTGAAAATATGAGTTATATTGTTACAATGAAAAGTGGAGTCATTGAGTAGAGTCAGAATAATACTATTTTCGGAAAAAGAAATAAGTTTCTTCTTCAAGAAGAAGAAACCTTGGGCTACCTAGGAACACATCCATGCAAAAGTCCGTGTAGTAAAAATGTTGCTTAGGAACGTTCTTCCTAACTACATTCTGTGTAGTACGAATATCATTTTTAAGATATGGATTAAAGCATTCTATTATTTTCTGATGGAAAGATAAAAACTATGAGAACTATTATTATTGATATGACACGAGCTTTTATGATGCGGATATAAACCTTTCTTCTGAGGGCTTGAACGAGTTTTATGATTTAAGGTAATTCACATTGTGGGATTTTACTTAAGGACTTGAGTAGTTAAGTATAACATCTATTTACATTTAATTAAAGTGTAGGCTATCAACAAGTCTGATAATATCTATACACTTTTGTGTAGCGTAGGTGTACCTACTTACTCGGATTAGGGGTTGCTTTTATTGTCATTTTCGCCTGTTTTTAACACGAATTAGTAATGTCAAGTTTTTCGTTAACGTCTCTAAAATCATTCTGCAACCTCAAGTAAGGTCAGGTTTCATGCTTATGTGTCCATTTTTCATTTCGTGCGTTTAAAGTCATCTTACACAATTCAGCAGAAGTGAAAATTAATTGACTTCGATATTAACTGCGTAATTGGCTTCTAATTGATTAAAGTATCTTCAAATTTTCTTATTAACATTCCTTAAAAAGAAAACTTTGTAGTATTCAGTCATTTTGATACGAATCTCTAATTAGGATATTCATTAGGGATTGTTAGTTATAAAATTTTTTTAAAGAAATTTAAAATCGCAATACATTTTTGTTGTATCTAAAGAAGATTTTGTTACTTACATTTTTATCAAGTAACGCAGGGAATCGATTTGATATTTATTTTTCTTGAATAAAACCAAGGGAGTTATCCAGTAAACCACTGTATCTGAACCCAAAAGAAAAACAGGTTAGATCCTACAACAGAAAGCCTACTGTGAATGGAATTTCTTAGTTTCCTAAATGAATCTATAAAGATCAAACCAAGAGAAAGAGAGAAAGTGCGAGAGAGAGAGAGAGTGTTAGAGTGCAATTGACGTATTGAATCTCTGATTCAGTGGACCTATGGTGACCACGTGTCGAATCAATTAACTTTTCTGCTTAAGTTGCTTATTTCATTTAATGCGATTCCTAACTAAAGAAATGCAGCTTTTCTATATCTAACTATTTCAAATATAAAGAAAACTTTAGTTCTTCTGTAAGCCTCTGCTTATATTTATCTTGACTACTGATCTTCCGTCATTGCTTGTCACTTTAGATATCGCTGCATGAAGTTCAGTTTTTAATACGATTTTTTTCTCATTCTGAAATTAAAATTTGATACATCCGCCAACATCCCTAGTTTACAGAATTCCATAGTAGAATGACTTAATCTGAACAGATCGAACCATTAGACAAAGAAGGGATCAATTACTCTTTTTTCTTCGTCTTCTCTTCTTCGTCTTTCCTTTCTCTCTAAAGTACATGACCAAAGTACATCTCCATGTCCTTTTAAGCTTTTCACTCAAATAGCTGCCGGTTAATTATATGAACCGATTTAAGGCTTACTTGCTGGAAATTATATATTATGTATAAGTTGGAGGATGGTTAATGTCGGGACTTACTGAATGATGTGTTACGTAGTAAATATAAGCAATTTATATATTTAAGTTCATTTTTAGCCTATTTTTTTCTGGAAGTCAATTTTGAAATGTTATTCCTGATAACAATAGAATTTACCATTTATTAGATATACTTTGACTAAGGAGTTCTTGTATCTGGGATCACATGTCAATGGTTGCTTAAGTAATCAAAATTACGCAAAATGTGAATATGTTTTAAAGTGAAACCATTTCAATTCTTTCGCTTTGTTTTTTATTTCTGGAACACAAAATTTCATGTCCGAAACATGAAACATTTTCCGACGTAAACGGCGTAACGTGGAAGCCCTACGAATGCCATTAAGAAAAACATTTTCATTACGTTGACGAGTTCTCCAAAATGTCAAGTCGTGAAATTGTTTCATAAATACTTTTCACCTAAGATATTTTCGCCTCTGAGTATTGATTTTTTTTCAAACTGACATACACAAGAAGTGATGAGAAGAATATGCAGTGGAATATGCAGTTATTAGTCATTTGTTTATTATTTTTGTTAATAATAAACTAAAAAACTTATGTTTACAATATTTTTAGAAAAAGAAAACAGAAGACCGTCATGAGCTGTCAGTACAATAGTGCTTTGTATGGTCAACCATACAACCATATATTTCAAAAAGTGCTAAGGTTAAATGTACTCGTTAAACTTTACAGTCGACACATGTCCTCTTAGTAGGTTACTTTCAGAAGATATTCATTTTTTCCCTCATTTGTTGGACATAGAACCGTAATATTTGCATTCAATGTACATATATAAAAGAAAAGTACCGGGATCTTTAAGTAATATTCGAAAAGTTTAATTAAAAAAAAACTCTTATTATTACTTACTTAATTATAATTAAATCAGATATTGACAATATTTTAATTGGACTTGATTGGTTGGCATTAGTGGCGACAAAGTTTCTTCTACTGTTTAATGTCATGAAAATCCAAACCCACCTATGTGATTCCTTCTTCAAAAGAGGAATAGAGAAGTGATATTTATCTGCTTTGTCACTGCCTAACACTCATTAAAACAAATCAATCGTCAGGCATGCTATCCGCATGACATTACAGATATTGCCTCCTTCATTAAAGCGAAGGAGGATATTTGCTTCCCATATATAAATATACATTTACATGTGTTGATAAATATGTATCACAATGCGTTCAACCATAAGACCTAAGTAAGCTGATTTTTCCCTCGAGATGAGCTGCCACGTATAGCTTAACTTAAATGGTTGTTAAATTAATGGAAGAGAGAATTTTTTTTGAGGTATATATGTGTCATAGGCACCTTAGTCGTAGACTTATATAGCGAAAGTTTTCTGTTTCGCCTTTTTCCTCTTTCCTTCCACAGTTTCTGCATATCTCATTGAAAGCGATACTCAATTTATTGACATAGATGCCCGGATCATTACCACGCATTTTGTCTCTACGACTTTGACTGTAAAGAGTGGAACTTTCATTTTTGAATTAAATATTGAAGTAGGTTTAGATTTTTCACAATTCATTATTACTTTTCATTTGAGTTCTACTGCTCTTATGAAATGACTATCAATTGGTTTTTGAGCACCTTTTAGTGAGATCTGTTCCTTTGCTGAGAATGTTTCTGATCCTTGTTTAGTTTGTTCATCTGCAATTTATTTTCCTTAATGTACTAAAGCCCAGATTAGGGATATTGTACACTGGTAACTCACTCACAGAGCTAGAATAGCAGATCTAATGTGAAAGGAAACTAGGTTTACTTTATTATTGCTAATGCAGCAATCAAATTAGAAAACAACAGTAAAAACTTCAATTTTCTGTGGCTTATGAGGCAATCCATTCCTGTTATGACTATTCCTATTAATCCATTCCTGTTATCTGCACTCATTGGAAATCTCATTCATCTAAACTAACCTAAGGATAATTTTCTTTCAAATATTTATATAGAAATCTTTATATATATATATATAGTTAGATGTTTAATATCAAGACATATTTGTTTTGAAAATCTTTTATGTTTGATAAATTTCTTTCCCACAATTCGAGATTTTCTTTATTTCACTTAAATATAATAATATCATTCAAATTTTTTTATTCTTTATTTTTATATTTTTAATATATTCTTATTTTTCATTTTGAACATTTATTCATATTAATTATTTATATTATATATATTTTTATTATATTCACATCTATTCATATTTAAGTATTTCTTTCATTGTTTCTTCTGTTCCATTTAATCGGCGTTCCTTATTGGCAATTCAATTTCACACATGTTGAGCAAATACTCAAACCTATTGTCGATAACACCGTGCATGTTGAACCACTCTGCTCAAAAGTATGCTTTATTCTTGAAATATATCTGTGCATAAGAATTCGAGTTCGTCAAATACGTTAACTTTCTCGAAGCATATTTTTGTGCGATAAGTAACAAAGTTTGTCAATTTTCAAAATTTGGGAAAAATGGAATTTTCAAAGAAAATATGATGAAATGAAGAAAAAAGAAATTCTTTTTGTAATTAATCTGGACCCACAAGTCTAATTCATATACTCTACTTACACTCAGTCTTAAAGAACGTTTTTACTACATTTTCATATGGATTTATAAAAAATTTTGCATAATGCAACAAATCTGTCAAGTTAAGAAAAATTGTTTAGATATAGCATTAAACAGTTCACTATCTTCAGTTAAGACAACTTGAATTAATTAAATTTGAATAATAATGAAGTCTAATTAAATGAGTTGGTTTTACAAGTAAGAAAATGAAGGAAATTCAAGTGAATAAATGCTTGCATCTAATATCAGGTTTAATACTCACCAAAACAGTTAGAAGTAGTAGCTATTAGTGTTATTGCTCTATTATGTACGACCAGTTGGTATTTGTGTCTTATATAGCAAAAGAATTCACAATAAACTGAATAGATTTCGATTGAGTGAATGTTTAAAATTAATACTCAATCTCATGTCTTTAATATAGGAAGTATTTAATGTTTCTCTTCCTGATATTCCTTTTTCGTTAGATATATTATACTACACAAAAGAATTAATTGTTAATACATAAATATGTAAGTAATAAATAATTTCGAAAATTTCGAATGAATGAATGCTTGGATCTTAAAGTTAAAATTAATAAGTGATTTGTATGTTAGTAATGACAATGGAATTAAACGAGAAAATAAGGTCACATAATTTGTATCGAAAATGAAGTTTAACAAAACTAAATTAATAAGTGTGTATATAATTAATTAAAAGTTATTATTTTATCATTACAGGTCATAAATAATATGAATTCATACACTACACCCGATCGACACGGTTACAGTGTAAGCTTCTCATTATTTGAGGCTAAGCATATGCTGTTGGCTACGTCACAGCTTTATGGATTGGCAGGTGGAGGCACACTATTTTTGCTAGAACAGTCAAACGACAACACGACTGGTAGCATAAGTGGCCTGAAAGAACTCGGTCGCTTAGAGTGGACAGATGGTCTTTTCGATGTTGCTTGGTGTCCATATGCAGACAACATAGCGGCCACTGCTTCTGGTGACGGTTCTTTACAAATATGGGGCGGTCTCGATGAAGAGAGCATATTGAAACCCACAGAAAAACCAATCATCTGCCTACAGGAACACAAAAATGAGGTGTATAGCATTGATTGGGGTGAGCAGTGGAATTACCACCAACTGCTCTCTGCCAGCTGGGATAGTACACTGAAATTGTGGGACTGTAATCGGCAGCACTCATTATCCACATTTACCGGTCACACCGACCTCATCTATAGTGCAAAATTCTCTCCACTCATTGGAAATCTCTTTGCTAGTGTAAGTACGGATGGATATTTGAACTTATGGAATTCTCTTGATTTTTCAGGTAAACCATTGATGAGCATACAAGCTGCGGACTCAAGCGCAAATGAACTGCTCTCTTTGGACTGGAGTTGCTATGATCGTAATACTCTAGTAAGTGGTGGCTCCGATGGTATTGTGCGCTGTTGGGACTTACGTAATATGCGACAACACGTCTTTGAACTACACTCTGGTGAATTGGCAGTACGTCGTTTGGCTTTCTCTCCACACACATCTACTGTCCTCGCAGCAGCCAATTATGATTTCACTACTAGGTAAGCAAATCATTTCTAGTGAGAGAGACTGTTAGCTAATGCTTTATTTTTTTACAGAATTTGGAATTATGGTAAGTCATTGGACGCTTTAGAAGTTAATGAACACCACTCCGAGTTCGTTTGTGGTTTGGATTGGAACATACATAAGCCTAATCAATTAGCGGACTGCGGTTGGGATGCAGTGGTTAATGTCTACACACCCACGTCACTCAAAGTTTGAGGCGAATCCGCACTCATCTGTATAATTGTGTAAATATTTTGTGATACTCGCTTTAAGTCGTAAGCGACTTCAATTATGTTTAAGGAAGCAGAACAAATGCAACGCTTAGCGGGCCCACTAATCAACGCATCTTCTCCGACTGGGTACATACAAATGCGCACTGGATAGGAACTGCACAAAAATGTGATGGCAAAGCTATTCAAAATGAAATTTCGAAAATGTGATAGAATAACAATAAACTTTAAGAGAAACTGCCTAATTATAGTTTGAATAAAAGCCTTAAGAAGAAAACGTTGGTCTTTCTCAATAATCCTAACTGGTAAGGTAGGTGCTTTATAGGTGAGGAGTACGATGTGAATATGTCATAACTTTTACTATTAAGAAAATAATTCTCTTGTGGAAAAAATGACTGTCTGGCGATTATTACATATAGGTAAACAGGCAAAGCTTACAGCCGGGATTATGATAGTTCCTTATCTCATAGTAAAATTAGGGCTTAAAGCAAGAGATCCAAACCGCGTCTTTAACACGCGGTTCCATGTACTTGCTGTACTGCAATCATAAAGTGTGCGATTAAAATACCGATAAGCGTTTTATAGTTCTTTCGACCAGTTGTAGGAATGATAATAAAAAATTTGGTGGTTTTTCATTATATGTTTTGTTGCACAAATTCATGAAATTTTTTCAGATAGTCAAGTCATGTTACGAGCGTTTCGCTGTTTCCAACATTTGTTTAGGTATCCGTATATATCGTGAAAGGAGCTAAGTTCCTTTCAGCGGATTATGAGGAAATTTATTGGGCAGTTAGTTGTTTCTTTATTGACTTGTCAGGTTCATTCACTTTTACTTAAACGGAAGATTACTGAATATTCTTTTTGAATCGGTATGGTCTCTACACCTATTATGGTGATTTTCTCGGTCTACCATATACGCAACGTTTTTAACTACGGGTCATTATTTATAATCAAGTATACGCCAATATGCAATGCAGTTACTACAACCTAAGTTGATCTAGTTGTTTCTTCTATGTAAGTAAGTTCCACTATTTTTCAAACAGTCTCTGCTTTAAATACATTCCAGAGATTCGAAATTTTATATGAATCTATTATGTCCAAACAAGTATTGCAGGCTCTAGCTTATACTCATATTTCAGAACCATCTGGATATATGATTATTAATGATTTGTTGGGCTTCGTTTTCGATAACTGTTTTAATTCTTTTTCTCGGATGCATAGTCGAAATCATAAAGACTGCATTGACTATGATATTTGCATTCATAGGGTAATGTTCGGAAGATCTTTCATGTAAATTGTTCGGTAATCCGTTGTTTTTCATATGAAGTTTTTTGATGGCTTATAATTGATTTTCTTTTTCAATACAGTTGACAATAGGTATATAAATAAAATATAATAATGTGGGACACACAATCCATATATAATTTCAGTGCATAAGAGTAATAGAGAGATTTCATTTTTTCAAAGTATTCTCTCATTTAGTATAAAACAGTGACTAGTAAATCGCCAGAAGATCGTGGAGTAATCAGGATATCAATTGTATGAGACTATTAAATATTTAAAAGAACCATGTCAAATTTTACTACATACATAACTAGCTAACATTTTTTAAGTTTATAGCTTAAAAAATTTCAAAAAAACATTTTCCCACAAAATTCGTGCCATGTGCAAATCCATGATCATCTACATCTCAGCTGCATAATTAAGGCAACCTTAACAAACTCGAGTTTAAAGACTGTCATTTGTAGTCCAAAACAAATGCATTTATCCTGTCTTATTGACATAACAAGAACAAAATATATGAGCTTAAAGCAGGACCGGATTCTTTGATGAATAACGAAGAATTTATTCCAGATAAATGACTCTCAACCCAAGACATACTGTGAATCAGAAAAATATTCAAGGACTAGTATTAATATCTTCCTATTAAATCATATTATTTACAAAATATTTTACATTACTATGAGTTGGTGGCGGTAGTGGCATCTCCTGCTCTAGAAGATTTTAGATAGATTCTATGGGCTAATGCTGTGATAATCATAATTATTTGAACTTTTGTCAAATTTCACGCAATCCGCTCTTGTTAGATCAACAGATTAAAGAACAAACAATCGAAAACTGTCAAAATTACCAACACCAACACCATTAATGATCCCAAAGCAGTTAAATTTAAATCTTGGAGCCTGTCATTTGTGCAGTGCGATTGTGTATTTGGTGAGTGGTGGAAAGTTGCTCTTGATTCCAGGAACTAACAAGTCATCAATTATCTGCTACGTGTTGCACTGATGAGGTGTTGAGAATTGGGAACTGAGGTGTTCAAATCAACACTACAAATAAGAAAGTCAAACATTCGCTGGTTGCTAAGATGCGATGATGATGTTTATCCGTATTACCGAAAAAGGATGCTATAATAACTGGCATAAGTGGCATAAGTAGAACGCCGAATGCAAACAAAAATAAATGAATTAACAAACCTGAGAGCAAAAAATTCATTACAACATTTTAAAAAATAAAAAAAATAGACACAGAGAATGGAACCATTTTCTAAGTAAACTTAAACCTTTTTGGCTGACAGGCAGGTTGCACTTAACACAATCTGGCAAACAAGGAAACAAGAAAACAAGGAAAGGTTATAATCTCCTAAATACGAATATCTTAAAAAACATGACACGACGTGTTTGGGAAGCAGTTGTCTCTCAAGCAATCACGGTTGGCGCGTCTAGAGTGTGAATCCAATGTTGTGTAGCTCTGGATTGGCAAATAAACTAAAGACAGTAATGAGCTTATAAGGACATCCTAAAGCTACAAATATAATTTCAGGCATTGGCAGGTAGTTGTTTGCCACGTTTCTTATTTCGTCAGAAGAAATCATAGTACTGTAGTATGAATTTGTATGTACGTATTCATATTTTTATTTGCAATGCCCAATCAAATCTCTAGATATCAAGTATAGCTATTTGTGTTACTAAAAATAAATATCAAAGAAGAAGAAATACTTTTGAAATTAAAAAGATTCTATCAGCCAATTTGTTTCATTCAACTGGAATCCATCAGGTTTACTAATCCATAACTTTTTATCGAGGATATATTATTCATAAGCTCATCTGCACTTATGGATACTGAAACCACACTGATAACTCCGTCATATGATTTGTTCCTTTGCTTTGGAGTAGACCACCTCATACTTTGCAAAAGTTAGATTGGTTTCCGTTCCCTTCGATAATTCATTAAATGCATTTTAAGAAAATGTCTCCTTTTTACTTGTTGGAATATCCTTTTTTCGACCGCTTTCGATTACTTGTTGAAACGAGCAAATCGACAAAAAATGTTTCTCAAGCCTGCTGAGTGCGTACCTCCTGCGTGGTTGTTGAGAAGGCGTATTGGTTTTTTGACAAAGGCTTACTCTCATTACAATTGGTCAAGTATTGGGTTTTTCAATAAATTATGGTAAATAAAAATCAATGTACTTTTGTACAATTTTCATGGAACACAATGATTTGCAATTTAAGTTTTTGTAATGTGAGGATATATTCGTATATCCTCAGGATAGATAGACTGAATAACTGTACAAATTGTAGGTAACATTATACAAAATTAAGAAGATTTCATTGAAATTTTCCTGATATGATCTTTCGATTGCGCAGTAAAAAAAAATGACAATGGCTTTATGGTTTTTATCGTCTCTTTTTCTATTAAGCAGGGAATTGGCTGCTTAATAGAAAATTGAAAGACATACGGATTCAAGTTAATGTAGAAATATTATTTTGAAGCAATCATTAACGAGAAATAAAAACTTTAATAGTATACTTTGTCTAACAGAATTGTAAAGATCAGTAACTTAATCAAGATTTTGTCAATGAAGGATGAATATATCAAAAAAATTTCGGACATAGTTGGGTGATGTTAAAAACTTGATTTAGTAGTACCAATGGTAATGAATGTTCGATTCACAGAGCTTTAAAGTTTTTGAAAGCCCATAGAAGACATCTTTATCTTTAGAAAAAAGGACGGTATTCTAGTATATATTTTTATTCTAACTTGAAAGTTTACTTAAACCTAAGCGAAAGTCATTGAAAGGAAGTGTTCATTTGGTCGTCCACAGCTTAAATTTGTCACTATTGAGTTCTTGACATTTAATATTGAGAAGAAAATTATAAAAATTTAGGCATGATTAAATGGTAACTAAAATATATACGAAACATGTTTGTCCTTAACTAATAGCAATACTTTGAAAATTTTAGATAAATCATACCTCATCTTATAAATCATTTTTTTTTTCACCAGTTTAATCGAAGCTGAAGTCCCGTTTTTCTCATACTTTATTTATTTCAAAAAATGAATAAACGCATAATCATTATTAGAATCCAAAGGTGTTGACAGTGAATAATGTCAGTCTGATAATGGATCTGACTATTGACAAAAAGTTGACTTCGAAACATCACATCAGAATGAAGAACGCTAATTGTATATACGCAAACTGAATCCGTTTCAATCTTTCCATAGATTGCTAATGATGGGTATATGGTGATATCCGAAACAGCGGCTTGGACAGCCCAAGGATTCCACTTGATAAATGATTTTAGAAATAAAAGTTTGTGAGAAGTGCAAACTTAAAACAAATACGTTAATTCTTGATATCCACTGAGTCCTGCTGAATTTCAGCTTTGTAGCCTAAGAGACTACAAAACTACTTTGCACCAGTTTAGGAAAACCCTAAACTGGCTGACCTCATTGATTATGGCACATAGAAAATTCTATCACCTCAAAAAGATAACTCTTGCTAAGAAAGACACTTGCAGACTATGTTTAGAAGAAAAGGAGACAGCGGTGCATATATTGTGCCAATATCCAGCATTGTCAAGCAGAAGGAAGACTGTCTTGAGACACCATGGGTTGGTGATGACTTGACAGGCAATCTCAAGCTAAATGAATAACTCACTAACGACATCCGACAATCGTAGAATGAACAAGAACCCAATTCGTTTCGTGGTCTACTACGGCTAATCCTTCACTTCAGTGGGGCCACTTGTTGGACGGTGCGCTGTCCCAACGTCCCACAATATATATTTCTATTAAGAAACATCTCGATAACTTGATATCTGTAGAGTGAAAGTGAAATATGGATTTTGTATTGGAATCAAAAATAGAGAAATTTTGAAAATAACTGAACTAAGAAAAACAAATCATGCTGAATATCAATTTTTAATAAATTTGCAGGGATCTTGAAAGTCATGAATATATCTATAACAATCTTCTT